TGCCATCTTTTGTCGTTTGGTATTGAGCTTTTATGGAGCTGTTGTTTACATTCCAACACATCATTCACCTTATATAATTACTTTACTGTTATACCCCTAAAACAAAGTCCTGGTATAAGGTAAGATGACACAAGAACAGGTAACATAAAAATGCCAATTGGGACATACAAAATACCCAACCTGACGATTTTGTGCACAGTTGCTGGTTGTGTGTTTGAAATCATGACGACAAGGTGTAATTGCAGTGATGCAGCGGCTGTGTACAGTACGAAGTGAACCATGTTTTACATTAATGAGTGACTCGAGACATTGTTGATTCAAGACATAAAACATTCGTTATATTTTAGCAAAATATATGTAGGTTGAATTGAAAAAGAATTCGTTATAAATGATTATAAAATATTACAGACGTGTCTTATCTCTTGACGCCATGTGAGTAATACATCAAGTGGAAGATGATTTTGTAATCGGTTTGATGCTAAATCCTCAAATAGTCCATCAAGTATTCTAATGCGAATCTGTGGTTGCACCGCCTCATATCAATAAGCAGTTTATGTCTCCTTCGATTTTTTAAGTTAGGATATTTTTCATACTTTAGCTAAAAGGTACCTTCAGTAGACGTTTGTTAAAAACAATGATACATACGACGGCTGAAAAATTATGTCTTTGTACGGGGATGCTATCTGGTCCACCGTAGGCGTCGAAGTGTTTACAGCCGGCGTTAGCTCTGATGAAACGCGTGTCGTTACCTTGCAGGCCTTTCACAAACTTGGCAGCATAAACACCAGACATGTACGGATCTTCTCCATAACTTTCCTGTTTTCAGAAAGCATTTTTGTTATGTTACATTAACAGTTCGACTCAAACAAGATACAATACTGTTTGTCATCGTCATAATTCATAATTCCCACTTTTGTGCATTACTATAAACACTAACAATGATGTGAAATGATTATGTTGATGCTGTAGTTCACATTTGTTGTATTGTATACCTTCCATTTATTCAGTTATGTGTGTAATAAATTGCATTCCTTTGTTACAATTCCATTGGTTAGAAGTTATTGCCATTGATTCTTTTAGTATTGTTGTTATAATCAAAAATTCTTCTGAAGGTTTTATACTGTTTAACTTTCTTTCATAAGATGCAAAATATTTGTGAAGTGTTATTTTCGTGTTTGTTCCTGCTACCTGTAACAACATTCTCCATGTTACAGATATCCAAAAGTGTTATATTTTCTTTCTAAAACATTCTTCTAATTTCATCTATAAAGTATCATTCAGTTGACCAAATACCATATTGAAAAACTTCCCAGAATCAGTCATATCCTTGGCAAGGCATAATTTCATCTAAATGAAACGTATGATTTGCACATGAACATTTAGATATGATGATGTGAAGATGGAAGACTGTGACCTGGTTCCGTCCCCATCTTGGGTCCCTCATGATGTTGATGACGGGGCTAAAACAGCTTATGCCTTTGTGGTCGCCGTACTGCTTTTTGCTGATGTAGTCGTTATATTTAGCCCGTACTTCAACACTTGTGGCCTCCGCAACCCGGTATATAAGGTCCTTGCTGTGAAATATACACTTCTGCAATGGTCATATCTTGTGAAAGTGTGCTGACTGACTATATTCACACTCACGCACACATGCTTTACATACATCAATTGCAAACATTTGACACCAGACAATAATGGAAAAGAACACAGTAAGAAGAATTTGTAATACGTTCAAGCTGATTGTGCCACAGGGTCACCAGATGTGTTGGTCCGTCCGTTTTTGAGTTCATGGTTCCCATAGATAGACAACAAATCTAAGCTGATATCTATTTATTTATCTGTTAATTTGTATGAGAATAAAGCCAGAACACTCACATGACAAGCTATGTTGAAAATGTTTATTTTGTCTTAGAAAACTGATTAGTTTTAAAAGATAGATGCCCGTTTACAACTTTTACTTTTGCTTCCAGAGTTATTGCATGAGAATATGTAGTAACAAAATTGGTAGCTCATTATGTGATATTGGTATCGCTGATAAAATATCTCGAAAAAGGTTTCAAACACTTCAAACAAGATTAATCTAAAGTTATCTAGTTAGAACCAAGGCACTGTATAAATGCGGTTCTGTATTGTATTTCTCGTCTTTCTTTTCCATATTTGAAAAAATAATTACGTTTAATGTGTGTCCACTATAAATGATCTTCAAAAGAAATTTATTCCACCCAATAACACCTCTACCTGAAGGCAGCGGCTAGCCCTAGAGCTTGGGGAAAGGATGTGGCATTCCCCGCCCCCACGTCTCCTCTCAGACATTCCGTGTTCCAGGAGTAGGGGCCGATACCTAGACGAGGGATAGCGGGAGCAGGTCCTCCAACATTACCACGTCCCCCTCGGGCCATCTGTTCTTGCATCTCCTCCAGGGTGAGGCGCCCGACTAGGTCCTCTACCCTCACATCCCACGGTAGGGATGTATTTCTGAAGGGATAATCCCCCAGTGCAAGGAGACATTGGAGGATCAACACATATACATATAAGACACCACTCATGCTGACATTTGTAGACTTTCTACAGCTGCCAAGTGTGACCTCAGAAGGCTGGAACAGATAAGCAACTGTTATAACCTTGACCTTGACCTTGACCTCCAGCACTATGAACATGAAGGATGACAAGAAATAGTAAGACTGTAGGAAAGGCCAAGCATATTGACGTCAACGTTTCAAAGATGGTCCATTGGCAGTATTTAAAGAAATAAATTTTCATGATTGTACATACAGATTTAATGCCTCTAAGTTGACAGGGCACTACCAATCGAAGATCAATATGGCAAACCACCAATAAAAGATCAATAGACATACAATCTGACAAACTACCAATCACAGGTCATTACATAGGCTACGTGACAAATCATCAATCAAAAATCATTGTACAGGCCAACTGTCAAACTGTCAATCAAATATTAGGACAGACACTATCTGACAAACCTCCAACCACAGCCAATTCAGTGGCTTTCTGACAAACCACCAATCAATCAAAGATTTTCAAAGGTTTTCTCTAGATCAATCAAAGTGTCCAGAAAATAAAAACTACATTACAGAAACGGGGAAAAATAACTCGGGTCGTGAAGTTAAGCCCAACAATCCTAAAAGCCTGATATATGTTGATAATGTCTACAGAAACCGTGTTGATTGTCTTGTCACACTAGCAAGGTCATCACATTTGGGAGTCGTTGACCCTGACGCTGAATGAGATAGGAAACGAAGTCGCACATGTGCTTGTCCACGCTGCACGTGAGAATTTGTTACCGGCGTGATGCGGACGATTCCACTAAGAGAAAGCAAAAAACCTTAGTTCGGTCATTAATGTTAAAAACAAAGGAACTACTTACCTAAGGCTAAAATATATATTTAAGAAAACTAACACTGTTGAAAAAAGAAAGCTTTTCCGAGAGCAACCTAAGGCATATAAGAAATGCTTAGACAAGCATGTTAAGAAACTAAGAAACGGTTTATGCACATTATTAGAGCCAATCGAAAACATAGTCCAAGTGAATTTCGGAACGCTCTTCACAAGGATAAGAGTAAGGTGAATAACATTGAGCCTGATATCGCAACATTTTATGAACACTAAACAAAGACATGAATGACACAATTAATGATGACGAATAATAAAATACTACAATGCACGATGATCAAATGCTCAAGTGATATCACAATCGAAGAAATACGTAAAGATGTAAAAAGTTTGCAAAATAAGAAAGCTTTCGGTATAGATCTCATTGTACCCATAATGCGTATATATTAGGGATTATTAGCACCCGTATATCGTGATAACGTTAATGCCGTGTTCATTACCGGTAACATACCAGATACTTGTGTGACTAAGACAGTTTTTAAAAAGAAAGGACACACACTAGACCCGAACTCTTACAGACTTATCACGATTTTTAGTTGATTGGGAACACATTTACGAGTATACTTCATACACGATTGTCATCTTAATCTGATGATAATAATATCGTATCCCCAGCGCAAGCTGGATTTAGGAAAAAAATAACTTTTGAAGAGAAGACAACACGTGTATCATCAATATGGCAATGCAGAGTCTTAAGCATAGCAACCAAAGCGGTATCAAATCGTGTGTTATCATGTGTCAAATGAAATATCCTATTTTTTCCCAAGCCTTTCCGTAGTTAGGCAAGGAGAGAATTTATCGCCATTACTATTTTCAATGTATATAAATGACCTCGAGCAGTCTCTGTTGGAACATAACTGTCATGATGTAAATGTTGATCACAATCTTGGTGATTACACTGTATAAGTATACTGTATGTAGATGATGCAGTCTTATTTAGTAGATGCCCCGCCGATTTACAGAAAAACCTTGACTCATTTAGAATATACTGCACTAAATGGAAATTAGATGACAACATTTCGAAAACAACAAAAGATTTGTTTGGCAGTGGCCCTGCTGAACCAGTTCATGTTTGGTGGAAAACATCTCGAGATAGCAGATAACACATGTGCATAACATTTCATAGAGATCGAAGGATGATAAGCACAATTAAATCTATTGCCTCTAATGCCAAGTTTAGTCGTGTATCTGCAGTAGCTGCAGTTCATATACCCCAGTCTCGCACTGATACCCATACAAACATAAGAAAACAAGACGTAGCCAGACAGATAATATTCTATAAAATGTTATTGTATAATCTGTAGATACTTTAGGGATAATTAATAAAATGTTACCAAAATGCATTGTTAATAGTTGTTAATAGTTATTCTGGGACTGACATCAGTACACAAGTGTTCAAAATGCACTTCAACACACTGCACGGCACGAGGGGTAGTTTCTACGCTTCAAATGTTAGATATGGGCAGGACATCGCATTCCTAATGCAGCGAGGAGTTAGACAAGTAGATCAAGCGAACGTTTGTATCTGGGATTGCCCTTCAGTTCTCCGTGAAGCCATGCGAGTTGTAATGAGTAAAATCAAAAGTAACACAAAACTTTGTCAAATGGGACGGACCAGTTATGGAGTATAGGGGGTAGGATATCTGCTAATGCGGACCTATTCTATTGCGGTTAGAATCAGCCTCAGGGCATCCTCTAACCCCGGCCTTCCGCTCACACAGGATAGGACATCAGCTCATGGGGCGGACCTATTCTAATGGGACTAGAATCAGCACGCATGAATAAATCAATACCAGGCGTACAGTGATCATTTGCTGGAGATACTCCAACTACTGGTAGCGGATGTTATGCTACGTCGTATACACGAGAAAGAGGCGTCTGAATCGTGGTGCATGTATGCAAGTGATTGAATATATAAACCGATGTCGACGGATGTCACAACCTCCATTCAACAGTAAACGTGGGCGAGTGTGTAACTGAGTGACACGCCTATCTCCGTGTGACAATCGCATTACAAGAAATAACGTGCGTGATCTTCATACTAGTTAACAAGTTTACCAAACACGACGTGGCCCCAATGACGACATAGTGTATACTCCATTACCCAAGAAGAGTCCATGACATTAAGGATCTGAGAAGGAATTCTATTTTGTAATTCCGTGGAGACGTCGAATTTATCAAGACGCTGAAAGTCCAGTGTACAACATTCAGACGACATGCATCATATCATAGCGAGGAAGATGGTTCTTGGGACACTGTGTTTAGTTTTGTTTTTCCTAGTTATGAAGTCCCCTGTAAAATGTAGCAACTGTTTTGACACGGATTCTTTACTGAAGCAAGATAGTGCCATGGTGGGCTATATATTTGACATCGTGCGGCCTTCCACAATATATGGCTGTTCTTCGGAGTGCCTCAGATCATCAACCTGCAGGTCATTTAACTTTGATCTGGTGACACGCACCTGCCACCTCAACAGCAACATCAGCAATCATACCAACGTCATCTTCAAACAAGGCTACGTCTTCAGTGACATTGAGTTGTGGCCTGCGGTGAGTTCATTAGGACTTATATTTTCATGTATGATATGGCATATGACGAGGTGATAGAAATAGCATGTCCTGTTGTAGATGATTAGTTGTGGTTACCACGAGGGGCAAGGGACTGTAAAGCTACATGTGTGCTATAGGATTTACATCGCACTCTTAATCTTGACCCGGGTAGATCCGGGTAGAATAGGTCTTCATCAACGCATGATTGCCGTAAAAGGCGACTATGCTTGTCGTAAGAGGTGACTAACGGGATCGGGTGGATCGCTGCCTTGGTTGATGCATGTCATCGCATCCCAATTGCGTGGATCGATGTTCTTGATATCAATCACTGGATTGTCTGGTTCAGACTCGATTATTTACAGACCGGCGTCTTATAGCTGGAATATTGCTGAGTGCTGCGTTAAACACCAAACAAGCAAACAAACAAACAACATCGCACTCCTATATCTTGAAAACTATTAACTATACTTAAGATCTGTAAAACACTGTTTTCCCCAATCATTTCCCCCAAACAAGTTCACTTATTTCATCTACAAGGGTAACATTGCATGAGGATTTCAGACCGAAAACCAAAACCAATATGGGTTCTGGAAACAAAACACGTACACTCCAGGAAACAACCACCGGTTCATCTTTTTGATCGGGAAACTGTTGACAATAAAAGATAAAAGGATGGTGTGATATGGTATCCAAAACTAAATGTGATGTGATGTGATGCATGAGAAAGACTTCGTTGGTATTAACGACATACGGAAGCACCAGATTTATATCCATTGTAAATTTACATAAGATACTTGTCAGCGTCTATACAAAAATAGAAAAAAACAACAACAAAACATTTCCATAATCATAATAAATGTCCATTGTGTGATTCTTACTATATCATAAGTATGTGTTTATAAATCCCAATCAAATAGTGATGATACCGGGTGTTCGCGAAAAGATGATCGTATCCTATCTGACCAGTGGCACCCGCAACAAATACATGCAGATCTAGAGTTTAATCAACTGTTCACTTAAAAAAATGTGAACATATGGTACAAGTCAAAATAAGGAATTGCATCGGACATAATTTTTGTCACTGATGCGTCAGATTTGGAACTGGTCTCCATGTCTACCATAAAACAATTTTGAAAGCTTTACTGAGGCCTTGAGTGTTGTAACCTTGACCAAACAACTTTTGGGCAATAGTCTCGGTCACGATATGGCTGAAATACTGCCGATGTGACGTTAAACGTTACTCACTCACTCACTCAATAGTCTCAATATTTTCTTCGAAATCCTCGTAAAAAGATCAGGCTCTTCTGTACCTAAAATAGCAATGTAGACACCATAGGTTCGAGCTTCTGGAGTATTGCTCTTGATAAAGGGATAGTTGACTATTGGAAAGTTCAAGTCTTCCCTCTTGTCATTAGTCTTTTTGTCAGAGTTTTGGCCGTTATGAATGTCTATTGATATATCCAAATGTGAAACAAACGAGGTGGTTTCACTGTCTCTGTTATTTCTAGTTCAGGTGGGTACAAAAAGTGTTTCATCACCAAAGGGAATGAAAACATAATACTTCGTAAAGTTGGGTACAAAATCAGTTCACAGCATTTTGGAGTTTTATCACTGAATTTACTTCCGTTGCTAATCGACATGTGTTTAGAAGCACAAACTTATTATTAATCAATTCAACAGTGATGCTAACATGGTGTCAGGCGTGTCAGCGACAAATACGTTGGAGCTCTCTCCTGTCACGTTGACGTCGCCGACCATTTTGTCGTCGTGTTCTTGTTTTCATCACCATGCGCTATCACTGTGATTGACATAAACCAGAAAAAAGTGCATGCAACTATGAAAAAAAAGTGTTTTGACACCATACTACAAAGAATGTTACCAAAGGACATTTTCATACTACCCCAACATGATCTCTTGTTTTGAGAATTAAACTCACGGGAGAAAGAAACAATACCAAACACAACATCGCATTTTCTGAAAAGAAGACAAAGCTCTTGAAGAACAAATGAATTCTTCAAATCTAACTCTTATCTAATCTGTTGTGTAGACGTAAATAAAATGTTTGGTGGAAGGGTGATGGTTTACAAAGAATGTAAATGTATTATTCCTCAATTATTGATGGTGTACATAAAGTTGAAAGTTGTGGGGTACAATGCGATAGGATAGAAGTATATGTATTAACATTTTGTTTCTTCATAATACTTATGAATTTAATTCTTTAATTTTTATCACTTTTGAAAAGACGATGTCAGCAACAGTGAACGTTTAACTGACTATAACATAAATGAACTTTACCTGACATGTTTGGTAATTTACGTTCAGTGACAGTTTTATACAACAGCTCACTGACAATGTCTTGTCCATTCCGGAGATATTTCTAACAATTCATCAATGTTTGGGATTAAAATATCGACGTATTCCGAAAACCACACATACATTTCTACAGAAATAATGACCATGAATTGAATTATTCACAAGCTGACAACTGAAAATCGAAAAATCGAATGTTTTATCATAAATCATTTACCAAAATGTCCCTGCTGACTTCTAGTGGCATCTGTGTAGTCGCTTACAGATCCTCAAGGACTTTCCAAACATGACATATGCGTAAATTACAAAACGTAAATTACATGGGATGTTTTCTTTTTTTAAAAGTTTTATGATAAAAGTGTACGGAGCGCCCCAAAACTCCTTCGTACCAGGTACTCTGACACCGCATGTACATACAGTAGTAGGGTTGGGTCGCATGATACTAGCTGGGGATAATTAAGCGGGTCACGTATGATTACGTCCTTAATGAACCCCTTTCAAAATCTACCGCCTGGAACTATCATAAACCTTGTCAAAAGAGGTAAATGTTTACTGACATCATAATAAGGGACGTTCCTGGGGATGATTTATACAACAAAGCTTCTATAATGACGGTAAATATTGTATCAGCAGAATATTATTACCACTGTTAGGCAAAATTCACGTATATCGTAGACACTTTTCGAACAATGGTCTTGATGACATTGTCGTGCAACTGACACAGATAATTGTTTAAAATATTAGATAGATATTTGAAAATGATGGAAACCGGTTTGGATAAGCTCTGGTTGTCAGATATGTTTTCCTGCACAGTTTTAATTTGTGGAACATGGCATTAGCGACAGCGGAACTTTACGTGACCTTTTGAGGTATAATGACCCAGTGTAAAGATAATTACAAGTGTAACGCAATGTTTGTAATCTTTACAGTTGACAGATTCATAACGCTCATATTTGAAAGTATATTATCAATACCACGTAAAGTGATTTCACAACAGTGAGTCAAACATGTGCGACAGCAATCGTGCACTTTAACTGAGAATGTTTAGGGGACATCTCAGGAGATATAGACGGCAAGACGTTGACGTGTTCACGTTCAATAGGTCCGTGTCGTGTGATATCTAGCGTTGTCCGGTCGGAACAGGGTTACTGAGTTCTGTTGCAAAAAATGCAGGACAACAGGGCAAAGTACCTGGTCTATATAGCATGGGAAAGCCAGACTGGCATCGACAACGAGCAGGATCTGTTTTGACGTCACCACGTATTCCTCCCAACACCATGACGCGCCCATCTCAATCCCTCACGTCGACGTTGGCTTCTTATAGCTACTCCACGGAACGGTCACTACGCCCGAATACCATGCAGTCTGAATCACCCAGACACTGTCCGTGGACTGGCAAGGTTGGTTGCAGCCCATGACATCACCGACAAGAGTCTATTCTACAGAGGTACAAAACCCGGAGAAAGTCTACGTTGGGCCTTGTCACGGGTGGTCTGCCGCTCCTATGCCTATCGCTGGTACTGCCAGTGTAGCGGAGTCGATCCGGTGATTGTGATGCGTGCGCAGACTTAGGTTGTTGGCCCCATCTTGTCATTCCGATGGCCCTTTCTTTCTGCTGAAGTGAAACTCTTTGTGGCATGATTGTTGTGATGTTTTGCTGTAAATTCCGATGCTAATTGTCGATGTGACAAATCCGTCATACCCCTTATACCAATTGGAGGTCGTTCTGCACGTCAATTTTTTATATCGTATGTGAGCCATCAAATTAACCTTTTCACAAACGATGTTGCTGGCTGCGTTTGGTTGAAACATATCAAACTATAGTTTTAAATTATGCAAAATGGAGATATTCTGAATTTCGGTCTTGTATACTTTGCCCATCAGTACACACGTACACGCGATGTTTTGAAAATATTCCCGCGACACAGGACAGTAATATTTAGTAATAATGCGAATTGGGTATGAAACTATACATACAAACTCACACAAACTGAATATCAGTTATTTATCATGTCCTGAGGGACCGATCATTTGATGGGGGAAGGGAGGGGGGAGGGTTGGTGGAGAAGGGGGCTGTGATTTTGTATTGAGACCAGCTGTTTTTCAGCTACAGACAATTTATTTTCGGGTTTCGAAAAAAATGCCAGTGGTGTGTCCATATTATGATGTTTTCGTGATGCTCCTTTGTTCAGGCTCTGTCTGGTCCATGCTGGGGGACCCAGTGTCCTGCTGGATACCGATGTACAGTCAACAGACTCGACCGTCCAGCTTGTCAGCAAGGTAAGCATCGACTCAATACGAAGGTGGCATAAATAACACATGACTGTTTGAAATGAGATTTTATGGGACACAGAGATTAGGAACAAGATTTGGATGTCTGTGGTTTGACCCCGCACCAGCAATATTTCAGCTATATGACGGCGGTCCGTAAATAATCGACTTTGGACCATACAATCCAGTGATTGACACCATGAGCATTGATCTATACAATTGGGATACGATGACATGCATCAACCAAGCGGGCGAGATTGACCACCCGATCCCGTTAGTAGCATCACGACAAGAAGTGGATGAAGGCCAATTCAGATCCGTATCCTCACGGGTAATACGAATAAGAACATGATTTTAGATATTATGGAGCAGTTTGAATTCTGAGTTCTAGTATATACCGAAAACAATATTAATTTAGTCTTGTCGAATTGTATGTTAATCCCTCCAAGAAAAATCGCTAACCTTATAGATAGCTATTGCATTTTCCATGGCTGTCACAAATACCCTTTTATACATAACGTTACATCACAGGGCCATTATCCGACAGATAATGTCCGCCTTCCCATGCAGAATTCCAAGGTTGTGGCTCACCGCCTCCAGGGGTACCAAACAGCGAGGTAAAGTATGATGGCCATTACATGGGAGCCGAGGCTAAGTACACGTGCACAGACGACTTCCGGTCCTGTCACATGAATTCCATAAGCGTGTGCCAGGCATCTACCGGCATGTGGCAGAAAGTGACTGACCTCTGTGGACGCTTCAGATTCCTAAATACCGTGAGGAATGACTTTTTTTGCAACAACAATATCAACCTTATTGTAAATTAGCCCTATTTCGGATCTATAACATGCAAACTATACTGATCCAATAATTCCGATTGCAAAAGATTCCACTAAAAAAGATGTATTTCTTTCTGAAATTCTCTTTATGACATTTATGATCGTAATGTGATGCGATTTCAGGCAAACATAGCGAGTAAAATTAGTTCTCATCACGCGAGCCTACCTACTAAATGAAAATGAGTCCGGTTTGGCGTGAAACATATATATGAATGTGTTAGCATTACCGTTGGCTTAAACTGTGTAAATAACATATATAAATACGTAAATATAGAGAGAAACATCACATTTGTATTCGAAATTTTATCGAAAAAGATACCTTGTCCCTTAAAGAACTTGAAAAAAAGTGCACTTTCTGCTGTTGACAATATTGTCTGCCCGAAAATATTTCGGCTCTGAGTTTAATAAAAATATGTTTGGTTTTGAAGCTGTAGCTGAAGAATATCTAGTCACCATACAAACTCCCACACCTAATTCACGTGTTCATGAGTGGTAAAGGTTTAGGACCTGCATCAATTTCCTCCCAGGTGAAGCTGACACACTATGATATAACCGGAATACTGTTCTAAGCGGCGTCAAACCAACCCACTCACTCATACGAAACGATCATCAGTTATACTTGATTTATGGTTTTCAGTTCAATATTTGATTCAGGATTATTTTATGCTATCATACAGGGCCGGGCAGATTTCCCCTGTGGCCCAGCAAGTCGCTTCACTGCGACGTTGCAAGGAGTTCTGACGGATAACAAGTAAGGACACATTAGTGATATCAACAGCATGTCGTCAGACATTCTGCACTTAACACCGTAATGTGACTTAGTATACATAATCTTGTTACTTAGTAATCGTATCTTTTGAAGTGTTATCAATGGTAAAGAAAGAAATGCTTCTTCGGTATTTTGGCTGGTAATGTCCACTTTGGGATTCAGGGCCCGTTCCAACTAAGATTATCGAAACTCACATACTTTAACATAGCCTTACGTCATTCGTTGCATTAAGATTGCTTTGTGAAACGACGCCCTAGCAGTTTGAATCAAAGACCTCTTATGATTTCTCTGGAGTTTGATATATTCATATTGACAAGTAACTTGTTTACAAGCAAGCAATGTTCGAAATGTTGTGAGTGTCAGACCAGGTGCAAGGTATGTCGGTTTCAAACGTTATACGTGATTTATGCGCAAGATGATGTTTTCGAGCAGGATATCTGGACATTGATTCCTCATTACCTCACATTATCCCTGTTGGAATACCTTTCACTGGATTATACAAGAAACCCATCCAGGATACATCTTTTCTATTTACAAACACGAAATAAATCATCCACTTAGCACACTTGGTGAAACATTATGTGCGCCTCCCCCCACAATAAAAACAACAACCAAAAACCAAAACAAAGCAAAACGAATAAACAACAACAACAAAAACACACAAAAAACCTAAAAAACAAAACATGTTTGGCTCCACTTTTCAGAATTTTTTTCTATGCTTTGAGATGCAAGATTCTCCACCCCACTCCCAATCAATACCACGATATTCAAAGCAAATTAATTGAAGAAATTGTTTACCTTGCATTAAATAAAACGATAGCATCATGGACTGTTGCTACATTGATACTGTGACACTGTTCACACACCTTCAATTTACCGTGGAGATGTTGAACTGATTTGGCCTGTAAATCTTCCACATGTTTGAATCCCCTTTTCTTGGTTTGATTGAAATGTATTCTTTGTGTAATTGCAGGATGGAAATAGTGATTCGAGGAGCCACAAAAGGAGCCACAACTTCTACATTCCATGTAATCTTTAGAGTTGACCGAAACAGCATCACATACACCACAGTCTCTAACGGCACCTTTGGCACGACCGGGAATGTATCAGCGATGATTCTACCACCCCGCCAGGACTTTAACATAGAAGTCCAACTCAAGGAAGGCGTTTACACGGTATTGCTTTAAAGCTGGCTTCATGTTAGAACACGGGTTAGAATACCACGGCACTCTGCGTCTTGTCGTAAATTGCATCGGTCGTCAGGCTTGATTGATTGCATGGCTTCGCGCCATGACGGAATGGGGCTTTGCTCATAATATCACTCACTAGTTTGCATGGGTTCAGATTCAATTATTTCCAAGGCTGCCTTGTAATTGTAGTTGTAATGTTGTGAAAACAACATACGCACAAACAAACATAAGTGATAGTGTTTCACGCACGTCAAGACTGATCTTTATAATACGTAACTGTGAAGTACCTATCTCAAGTAACCTTTCAACATCCGCACATAATGGCCATAATCCCGGCTTGTTTCTTTCGTAGTTCCAATAATGATCCAACATATCGTGCCTTCAGACAAACTTTGACCCCGGAAGATACACTTATAACCACTATCTAGATGCACTAATGAACAGAAATCAATTTAAGCTAAGAAGTAAACTGATAAACTGTTCAATTGTGATTAAGTGTATGAAGTGCATATGGCTGATCAATAGATACAGCATATTATTTTGTTACATTAACTGGGTTCGCATCCCATCCGCGTCTCCTGATTCAGATACAGTTACAAAAACTCTCCGAGCGATTTCTGTTTTGAAAAAAACCCAGTTGTTCGTTAGTAATCGATTGTCTTAGAATTTAAAAAAAGGGTTTGTGTAAATGCCATGTAAATGTCAATTGGCTGCAAACCAATGCAAACGAAGATACCCCGAGAGACAAGCGATGAGAGTGAAATGATACAATTATAATCAATAAAATTGCCCCGAAAAATTAATTGAATGTGAATTGAATTAAAAGAAATTGTAGATTTGTTGAAGCGGCCTTGGATAATATTAACCCATTCATTCTTAGTTGTCATTGTATTACTTAGGCGTCCTGGAAACCTATATATGATCGTGGATTCGAATCCTAAACTCTCTCTGATTAAGTTGATGAGCGCCCCATCCGTGCTCATGGGTTTCCCAAACTTACTGACTCTGAAGTTGATGCGTTTGATATTTTTCCTCTTTAGATGGCGATAGATGGCGCCGCTTTGCCGCCTTTCCCGGAAAGACTAGCAAACGTACAACCCTACCGTATAATGGCACGCGGGGACGTCAACGTCAACACTGTCGTCATTCAAATATGACGTTGGGGTCATTAACTTTCAAAGGACATAATCCCATATTCTATTCTCTGCCGAGTGACGATACACTGATAGCCACCCTTTGTGATATATAGCGATAAGTTCAAAGCTACGAGTGATGGTTCAAGGCCAGGATCGCCGTAACGGCAGCACTACACCTTACGTTAACACACTTATTGACAATTTTAAACATTTTGTTCCATTGTCTACACACACCGTGTGTTTACAAGCGCATGACCATGGCAGCTGTCCTGATGTCACTATGAGTCTACCTACGTACAAACAACTGTCGCACATCGCCATTTGTTACATGTCTTCTGGTTTGGTTGTATTAAAATCATTATTTGTAGCTTTTGTTGATATCTTGTAACTATTTTCCATCCCTCGTGCGAACACTAATAGTTGTGTGTTGGACAATCACAGCTTGAATTATATGACACATGGAATATATACACCGAACAAATTTTGAGACATTTCATAAGTGTAACCATTCCATTTTGTTTCAATTGACTGGAAAATGCTGAAATGACGACAAAAGAACTAGATCTAATTTAATATGGCGTCCATTCCACACATGCACACCAACACAACCAACCAAAACCAGACTTTTGCACGTGCTGTCATGATCTAGGGTGAAAGCAAGCCCATGCTTATTCTAAAGTATCCTTTATGTAGGTGAATAGCAAACACCGGCTGAATAGTCACACTAGAAGGTCTACAGCTGAGGTCAATGCCTAGGATGCCGCCTGTACAATAAGGAATAGCCCTTGAAATGTTAACTTGTAATGTGATGGTTTGGGGAGATTTAAGCTACAACATTAGGTCGCCAGACCCTTGTTAACTCTACATTGCACCGCCTATGTGCTAGCCCAAGCGGGTCATACTACCCACTGATGAGGCTGAATGTGTTACTACGAAGGGTAATCTTTCTTTAACAAATCACTGGACCGTAACGGTCTGTGGACATAGTTTGGTCAACAACCTGATCACGGACTGGATACGATCCCCAACCCTTGCTCTTCCTTGCCTGACGCTTTAGACCACTCGTACACTCCGCCCCAGTGGTGTCGTAGCGGTGCAGTAGGATCACCGACACTCTGCGAACCTGCCAATAACAGTGCTGTTGAATGACCGACACCAGGTAGAGATGTTCATCGGGTTTCGGTAATAGAAGACTTCTAATTCTTTAGGCACAGGATTTAGGCATACCATGCAATAATACGTCTGCAAAAACTGAACTTTTTAGCATTTGTTGGGTGGGGTTATGTCACAAATGTATGGCATCTGTAACAAGTTTCATAACCACATGGGCTCCCAGGTAAAAAATATAAATAGTTTAAAATAAGTTAAACTTTTTTTTCAAACATACAATACAGCCAGTGGGGAACGCTTTTCATCACCCAATATCCATTCTTTCGACAGATGAAAACAATGACAGCACAGTCTGGTTGGCATCAAAGAGTGCTCTTCATATTTGTATTAATCAAGCAACCTTATCAAAAATGACTTGGTTACTTGGATTATCGATGTGCACAAGGTGTTTCCAAATGCATTGTAGCAAATTTACAGATTCAGTATTGGTATTTGCATGTTCTTAAATGGAAGGGGTACCGGAATCCGCTTTCAACTGTGGAAAGAGCTACGCTATGTCTTCGTGTTAATATTTTAGGCATAAATATCATTTTCATGTAGTGATGGCAGTCATTTATTCCGACTCGAACGGACGACTGTGAGGAAGATGTTCCATTTGGGGAAAAGGCCTGGTTGTTGAGCTCGTTCTTCGTCCACCCCATGTATGTCGGACCCGGTAACGCCACCATTCGTTGTTCTTGTGAAGCATTACCGAAGTTGTCCTTTCTTTCCATCATTAAGTAATAAACGTACGTCTCCAGAAACAGTACCATGTGAGAAGTATGATTCCTTCTCTGGATGGCGACTCATCCAAGTTCTTCCTCAATTGATGCTGTAAAGTAAGACATGATGTTCCATCAGTAAATGTTGCATGAACTGCTCGATATCCATCTAGTTATAACTTAAGCAACATTATCGCCTATTTACATGCTACAAAGAAGACAAACATTCGACAAACTAAACTTTCAACACAGTATCCACTTAGCGTTACTACTGACAATCTCATCAACACACAAAATCGCTTCGAGAACTGGAAACTGTTTTATAATTCATGAGAATGATTCTTTTATCCTGAGAATAACAGGATATATGTATTGACACTTCTGTTGAGATACCATTCGCCATTCAAGAAACATTGAACACGATTAGGATTCGGTAGTTACCCCGTGATTAACTTATGATTAACATTGAGAAGGTATTTAATTATCGCCGATTTAATTAGAAACTTCGATTATCTGTGATAGCTAGAATAGTTATTAATACAGACGACAGTTCATCTGTGGCTGACAAGTAAAGTCCTGTTTTTTCACCATTGAAAGCAAGGCTAACTTGCTACTCCTTAAGTTAACTATCCGCTTTTACTTTTGGCAATATCTGTTAGTCCATGTGGTTATTTGAACATATCATACCCGTGTATATTTGAGATATTTTCATTAAAATGCTGTTGTAAATAGATAATGTCTATCAGGTGGAACTGATTTATGTGGATTTAGGTTATGTATAATAACATGTATTATCGTGCTGCAACGTGACGTTATGTCCCTGCATTGCACAACGGGTAGAACATGATCTCGAGCGACATCGCCCCGGTAGCGTACGTCATTCAAATTGCTATCTACAATGATTGGTTGTGTTCTCCCATGAGTTGTGATTTCAATCATTGCATTCCACCCAAAAACTGAGGACGTTGAGTAGCGCAAGCTTCGTTGAAACCTTCTCCTGCACGCCTGTAGACCCCTGCATGGCCATCAGATTTGTCCTGAGCTGAAACCTTGGCTCCTCAGTATACTGTCCCAGTCTTGTCGTCCCTGTCTTCGGAGTCCCCGCGGCTGTCTAAATCACGCTAGGCGTGCATGACGGTGACGTGAAAGCAAAATTGGGCTTTTCGCTTGAGGTCGGCGCCGGATGTTGTGCTCCCTCAGCCGGTTGCGTACGGTCCTGTCCCTAATTGGTCACAGCTGTGGCAGTTCGGTATCGATTCCTTAGATGCAACAACCGAATGTGGTTGTGTTGTGGACGTCACGTTACACGTGGACGATCGGCCCGTGGCAAGTCAAGAGTGTTGCCCTGCCGTAGATAACGCCTCCAAAGAGATGATATTGTGTTTCAATGAACTTTGAAATGTGTGGCAACTTCGTTTTGCGCCATTCCTGTTTACAGCATATCCACGGCGCGTAGACGTTGATATTCAGCAAGCCATGTCATTGCGTTATCTACGGTTAAACAAAAATATTTTTATAAGCACCTGATACCTGAACATTAATTGTGTGCATGCTCCCAACCAACACGCAACACGCTAATATGCAAATTGTGAATCACAACCTCATAGTCGATATGTCTTCATGAATATTTAATGAAAGACAAATTAGTTAATTTCAGAATAATTTTATTTTTTATGAAACTTTATATTAAGCACAGATACTGTTTTGGTTAGTATATTAGAATGAGCCTGCTATAGATAATAAAGTCTGTATAAATCTGTGTCAGTCCTTTTATATCATGTTCATCATATGTTCTCTGGACACCTAAATATATATTACATATAGTATCTGTTCCTGGGTTTATAGGGTGTACAGTCTCGTCCATCCGTGACATAGTGTTGGAACCTGCTTTCGCCCGACCAATGGATTTGCCTTTGTCTTCATCTGTTTTGCTTGCATTCCTACTTCTATTCTTTATTGCTTTCAGTAATTCAGTAATTATACCATGCTCATTTTGTCGAATTCTAACTTTTATAGACGGTACACAAAGTTTGATATAGTTATTAAACTTGAGCAAAAACATTCAAAGGATTCTAAAATATCTTTACATTTATTAAAATGTTTAATCCAATCAGTTGATGGAATAAGGTTGTTATTCATCATATTCACCTCTTCCATAACACCAATAATCTCTTGTAAATGATGATTTGGTTGATAAATGTGTTTCACTAATATACATGCCCCTGTGATCACTAAGCACATTGTGAAAATCAATCGCTCCGGAATCATCAACAGAAACTCCTTCACGTTCAATTATCGGATTTAGTATCCGCGTGGGTTCATTTATCAAACTGCATACATTTTTAATGTCTAACAAATCTTTAAGATGAAGTCAATATATCCAATAATGACTAAACTTCATGTTATGTCGAATGCATTATCAATACTGTCGTCCAGGCGATTCTAGATCTTTCATGCTTCTAAATAACTGAACTCATGCGTCAGCAATGGTGATTGTGTCTGTTGATTTATATAGCGGATGTTTTGTTCCAATAATAATGGCCTAATTCTTGCCATCATTGAGCTTCAACATTGGTTAATATCCAGGTCTTGATTTCTTTAGTACACACATGTGTTTTTGTGAAGGGTTTATCACACATTTGATATTTTAATATTCTCCTTATGTCCACACGACTCCGCGCACATTGAATATGTATAACAATAGTGACTGTAGGATATGGCGTTGATATGACGCAGATTTAACATCAATCCTGAAATCAAGCTGACATGCCGTGACATAATATCAATAATGTTAAATTTAACCAAGAGCATTGTCAGGCGACCGGTTTCATTCAACACCGGGATTTCCCGTTATTGCATCACAAACCGTTCTGCTCTACCGCTGGCGAGCTATTTTCAGAGAGACGTCAATCAGAAGGTCGTTCCTTCTCCACGACCAATGTCATCCCCGTACAGACCAAAAATAAAAAAATGCAGCAAAGAGGGTTAGGGTGATCCTGGCAAGTCAGGGTGGTTAGGCACATCATCAGCCCAGGGCCCTTGCCCCCTCTACACGCAGCCCAGACAGCGAATGGAAGCGCTGCCAAGTCGAACACACCGATTTTTCGGAGAATATGAAGACTCCCCGACACGACATCCTTCTGCATTACCCAGATTGTCAGAAGGGCAACAAACCCGGGTACACTGCCAATGTCTGGCAACAGATTGGGAGGTACCAAACCTAAGACACCGAGATCAATGGAGAGTCGGACAACTGTGGTACTTGGGATGCAATCGTGACATTTCGAAAGCGAGGTCCGCATATTTGCAATGTTTTTCCTGAATCTTGCCAATCACATTAGTGTCAACAGTTTTGTATTTATCATTTTCCATGACGCCCTCTACCTATTCTGGGTCGTACCATGGATGGACCTCTGTGTCAAAACCACAACCATGGCAAAGACGGGAATAAATGATCGAGCTACAGCATCATGTCGTGATACCGTGTTTGTGCCAAAGCTGGGCATCCACTGACAATGTGTTAGACAGTCTCACTAAATTCATTGCCAAATCTACATTTCATATTTACATTTAGATGCAAAATGACACATTGACGGTTTCGAGTGGAAAATGACTGGGCCTGAACAGCAAACAGAAAGACTTCTGTTTCGCTTTTCAGGCCAGCCGACTTCATCCAAACTCTGTAGGGTTGCTGAACTTCTGAACACACTGCATATACACACGATGCAGTGGTCGTTCAGACAGCCTCTCCTTGAAAAACTGAGTCTTTGCCGATTTGATATGGCACTTCGCTTTGTTGACACTCATTTCTGTAACCGTCCATCAACAAGATCGACACTGACATTGAGATCATGTCCAACATCATTGGCTCGTTTAAGAAAACTGTGGAATGCCTTGTTTTCATCATGAGTCTTGACATGCTTCACAAGAGGATCATCAGAAAAATAAATGTGTGCAAAAGAACACAATACAATACTATCATGAAAAACCTTCACGTTAATCAAACCACGCCCTCCCATTAGAATTGGTAAGTAAAAACGATTTAGGGAAGAGCGGGGGTGATGGAATCTATTGTCTGATATGATTCTTCGAGTGAGGGTGTTAATACCCCGAATTTCTTGTCTCGTTCAGTCAACAACACCAACAACAGAATACGAAAGGGCAGGTATGGCATAAGTATTTGTGGCTTTAACCATATTTTCTTTAGTCTACATTTGTACTCTGCCCGAAGTTTTGATATGGGCATTCTGAGTTTGTCCCTAATCTGCATCCCTAAGTGCGTGTAGGCCTGACCTTCCACGAGATTGTCAATAACTCCTTTTCCAAGTAAACTGACTGACCCTCCCTCTTCTGCGTTGCCACGTTTCAGATGAAGAATGTTGCATTTGCCGTAACCAAAGGACATGCTGATATCGTTAGAAAAGGACTCGACAAGGAGAATCTGTTCTTTGACTGTGGATCCTCCATTGGCAATAAGTTGGGATCTGTGCTGAGGGGGTCAAGGGTGATAACCTTCCTCTTTGCTAAGCACAAAGCTTAAAGGAAAAGCAAAGGACTGAAAGACTGAAAGAATCGCCCTGAAATATTCCTCTTCTAAGAAATGGGTTCCAAGGTCACCACCTGCCCCTGCGAATACATCTCAAGTTGAGTTGACCAGCAATTCATTAAAGACTTGAGTAATACAAGTATTATTATTAATATTATATATATAGTGTTATTATTATTATTATTTTTATTATTATTATTATAGACATTATAGACATAACACAACTCTTTTGAACAGAATGGTAGCCAGAACTATTGTAGTATATAGATGTAAATAATAATTCTTCTTACACATATCCGTAACTATAACGTGTCTAGGGATCACTGACGGATGCTTCTTCTCGCCTCTTATTTAGCTTAATGGTTAAAGAAACACTCGATATACGTCAGTCTCGTACTGATACCTACAAACCACAGAAAACAAACATATAGCCAGACAGATTCTTCTGTAGATGCTTAAGGCATTATTTTAATTTTTTTTGAAGATATCAAATTAAATATATAAAAAAAATATACTTGTGAAGTTTGACTTATCGAATATTGAAATCAACGTACAAAGGTAATCTAGAATGTAAAACTTTACAAATACAAATAAGTTCATTACATTTATATTAACACCGATGTATATATAACATAATACCGATACTTGCTAAATTTAGTAGTTTTGCGTTCTACAATACATTCGTTTGAAACAGCATTCTTTTACAACCAACAAACGTATTCCTGATATATTAGAATCAAATATGTATATTTTGGTGGTAAATGTGTCCAAGCCTTCTGAGGCGCCACACTAGTCATTAAGTTTTTTTTAGCTGCCAAACCCGCTGGTCGTAGGTTCGATCCCACATTTGTCCATTTATTAACCTTGCGTTGTCAGGACCAAACCTATGATCGCGGTCTTCGACCCGAGTTCATGGTATGTTAAGTTGTCCCATATATTTGTCGACAAACATGGACAATATAAAACAACGTGCGTACATGACGACATATAATAATCCAACATACGCTATTGTTTTTATTTACTGATGGTGCAAGATCAAAGGGTGGTCTCATGAAACAAGTATATTCGTTGTTTTAAATGTAGAAAGTTAAATATTAAAATGTAGATTTGCATGGTTGGGAGGTGCCAGGTGGAATGTCACACTTGCTGTAGTAACACGGTGATTCTGGACTTAATTCAGTGAACAAGTGTTCATAATTCACTTTAATATACTGCAGATGACGTGGGTTAATGTGTCATGTATGTACGTTTGAAAGTAATAACACAATAACTTGCATCAATGTTTTCAGTATTATTTCCTCTATGGAATCTCTTAGCATCATCCGTATTTTGTATTCCTATTATGTTCATAACGACCTGTTCCTGATGCTAGATATATAATTATGTTATTTTCGTTATCCTGTAATTATCCTAAAAGTCATAAGATTTCCGAGTCCCGTGATGGGATTAGAAAAACGGACCTTTTGATCAGTGGTCGGACGCCTTGTCCACGCCAGCAAATTTGAGATTTTACGAAATGACACTTGTACACTAGCCTATTGCCCTACTGGACATTACGTATGTTTGTGTGAAATAGATAACGGAGGTATAATTACTGTTTTTGCAACAAGGCACATTTTATTAATTAATAAAAAGATAATCAGTCTTAATACACGCCAAGGTACTTGGATCCCTCGACTTTGAATCCACCCTCCAACACTCTTGATGCTGCTGACTTTTGTTGATTTGGCTGCTGTCCACCAACAAACATCCGGATGTTCCCTGAAGAGGATTATCGTGATGGTTAATGAGAAGATAAACCCAAAATATTTTCAATGTAAACATTTGATACCTGTAAATCTCGGCCAACTTCTCCCTTTTCAGAAGCTGCAGAAAAGAAGTGGCTGTGAATGTAGGACATGGGACAACTTGTCCCCGTTCAGTAAACAGGCCTCCACCACACATTTCTTGCGTTAACTGTCCATCTGTGTTCAATGTTCGTTAGTCTTATACATGTGTATGCGTATACGTAGTTACGTATTTAGAAGTATTGTCCTTAATATAGTCTTGTACAAAAGATACTTGTACACAACGACTTTTTGAAAAGATAGTTCCAACACGTCGACTGTACACAAAAGCACGAGTGTACCTGCTGAAGAGTGAACATGGCTTGAATTGAACTACAAACAGTCAATTTGATAAAATATATGCTGGAGTGAATTTGGAACGCGAACCCAAACATATTTAGGTACTAAGATGCCTTAATGATGGACGAACACAATTGTCGTGGATGTTGTAAAAGTGTAACATTCCAGTTACTGTCGACTAAACCTAGCACGTTTACATCACGGGACGGTCATGTGCTGGCGAGGTCAAATACAGTCCCAGCTTACAATGGCTACGACTGACGTCTGAGGTCAGTTTCAAGCGGAAATTGACGATCGTGTTTAGAGTGCTGTAAATTTCATTCGAAACCAATCGCAATAGCTCTGCGGTTTCGTATTTTGAAAAAAAGAGGTTTCGAATCGAAGTTTGAAAATACAGTTGGTTTGTCTCCATTCTCCTATGACACAATAACAAAACAAACGCAAACGCATCGGTTGAACCTAACATTTTCAGTAGGTTGAAAGGGCGATTGAGGGATCCGTTGAGATCGCTTTTAATATGATCATATGTTTGCTTTATATGTTCAAACCTTTATGTTCACCATAACACTTGAACCGCTTCACTGAGACTGTTAACATTATCCAAACAAATCTAGAAGACATTAGGCGACTTCCGTAATGTTTTGTCCCAAAGGAAGTGTCATCATAAGTATTTGTTTGTCAGGTTTTACACCTGAAATATATTGCCACACTTGCTGAAACCGCAACACATTATTCATCAACTGGAAAGATAATATGTTTAGTATTTGAAATTGCCAAAATGGACGCGTTAAGCGAAATAAGGGCTTCTGAATAAATATTTTCTTTTATTGTAATACGGTCGTCAGAAAAACCATGTTGTAACATGTTTTCCATAAGTCTATAGCGGACTATTCACAATCCAGTATTTAATGTAGGTATCAAGGAACGATGGAAACTACTCATCCCAAAAGCGATCTTAAGTTGAGATTAAACATACAATGTACATGTATCACTCACCTGGTTCTATCACCCACCCCGAGTCGTCCACCCAGACAGCCATGCTCTCTGCTGACACCGTCATGTGAACTGCTTGGAGGCCTTTGGCAGCAATGGTGACACGTTCGAAGGCTACCAACTGTCGCTGTGGAACTGTCACATTGGCGTTGTCCCAGGATATATACATCTGAACAACCTGCAAAAGAGAACAATTTACTAAATAGTAACCATTCACAATTGTTTCTCGACACATGACCATATCATCGACTCACGCATCTCGAAGTCTTTAAAATAAATGTCAAACAGCAGCACGTATGTAAGTGTTAGTCTACAAACCCGAATATTACATGCGGTGAGGTGAAATGGAGATAATGTCGCGTTCAAGAAGCAAATGTGCGTGCGTGCGCGCGCGCGTACCATCTTTTTACGGCTTTTGGTATGATGCGGACATTTCCCCTTCCGTCTGTCATTCTTTCCACATGACCACGGAGGCGCTCAAGATATCACGAAAACCCAATCAGTTTTGAGTTGAATTGAAGTCTACTGATCCTGATTCTGGGCTTGTGCAGTGAAGGGCTCATGCGTTTCTCCGGCTGTTCTGTCTGTCTGCCCAGAAGTATAACGCAACAACCGCTCAGTATTTCTCAGCAACTTTTTATGAAAAGAGGAGTGTTGCCTTTTGTTTTTGAGGAATTCTAACCGTGGACTCATCTTTATTTGATTTCTGAAGCAGATAACATGCGATGGTGTTGGAGGGACTAACCCTCTGGAAATGACTTTTCTTTCATGCATCCTGTAGCTGTTCTTAATTTATATGTAACGAGAAGGTGCATCAGTTTTGAGAGAACCCCTCAACTATTCATAAACAATGAGTTAGGTGGTAGGTTTTCCCCTTGGTCTTGTATAATAGATGTGAATTTCAATACAAATCACATCATGGAGGGTTAACATAAATGGATGTAATAGCCTCTTGGTCTTGTTATAATACATTACACTAAAGATAAGACTCAAGTGGATCCTACTGACCTCGTCACCCTCATGTTTCCCTATGTTCTCCAGGAGAACGGAGACCTCGACATCTTGCCCTGCCTGTATGGTGTTGGGGTACTGTAGTTTGGAGTAGGAGAACTGGGTGTAGGAGAGGCCATAGCCGAAAGGGTACAATGGCTCGTCCTCGTAGTATCTGTACGTTCGCCCAGCCATCGAGTAATTTGTCATGGCTGGAAACTGTAATGAATCGACTTGAGCTTAAGATTGCCATTGAGGGGAATATTGGTGAACTGATTAAATGTTCTTTAACATCATGTAACCCCAAAACGATTATCCCCAAATAAACTAGTCACGATCTGAGAAAATTAGTGCCTGAAAGAATTAGAAACGACCCATGCTATCTCGTACAATGAGAAGAAATCAGCCATATCGCAGCGCCTGATTACCTGAGATACTTTGGACAAAATTCTGACGAGGACGCCTCAGGCACCTTTGCCAAATTTTGGTAGATAATGAACTTACTTTTTTATTTTGGTAAAACTAATCATAATGTGTGTCTGGGTGAAACTGTCAGGTATTCACGTTGATGACCAGTGCTGGAACCTTTGGGCGGAGGCAGCATATTGACAGTGTTAATGTAACACGGTCAACAGTCCAGAAACTGAAATTTTACTCACTCCATCAAGGCTCTTAGGCCATGTGTAGGGCAGTCTGGCAGCGGGAACAGAGCCCGGCCCATCCATGGTGAGCACACGGCGCAGAGCTTCTCCTGTAGCCTGAGCAGGGAAGAAACATTCCAAGATGGCGGCAACCTGTGGATTGGCATCCGCCATGGTAATGTTCAGAGGCCCGGCATTGAACAGCAGAAGGACGATTGGCGTATTTGCGCCTGTAAGAATCAGGAGTGATATATTCATGGCAATTGTACGTTGATAGTTTTCACTTTATTTCACACTGTAAAACAGATAAAAACATCCTGTAAAGCTTTGTACAGTATAATATTGAGCTATATCAACACAATATTGGATATTGCTAAAATGTTCGTGTACAGATAAGGTTTTCCCTTTTTGTGAATGCAAAACATTAAAGTATCATAATAATGAAAATACGCTCATTATATGCTCAAAATGCCCCACAAAGGTTGTTCAGAACGATTTCAGGAAATGATATGGTTCGGTCTCAGCTTCGAAACATGCAATTGGTTCCTGTGAATGAAGGACAAGAACAACGTTATCTCTATTTTACAACATTATATTTCAACTTCCAGCATGCCCATTTATTGCTGGTAAAACATGATAACACTTACTGAATTTGAGTGAATCTAGTAATAGTTCGGCTTGTCCTGAAGGAAGTTCAATATCTGGTCTGTCACGTGCTTCACTTTCGATCTCTTGCCCTTGCAATATGGATTCATAGTGTAATTATTAAAACTTGGGATGCGTAACATGACGAAGGACAAACATTGATTTTAGATAGGTAAGTGGTAGATCAAATATGTTATACAAATATTGCCATGCTGTTTACCTTTATTTTCTGAGATTTTTAGAGTTATTGAAAATATCTGGGAAATATCCTACTTGTTCGTGGACGTTTAGTGAGACTTTTTTGAGAAAATGGTAGCATTCTGATATATTGACAAGTTGTAGACCAGGGTGCCATTGTACAAAACAACCTTAGCGCTAAGGTTACCTTATATCCTTAGTGTTAACCTTAGGCCTTTAAAAGGTTGACCCCCAGTTGCATGAAACTACCTTACGCTAAGGTAGCCTTAGTTAAGGTGAAAATTGTAAGGTTGGTCAGACCCAACCTTAGCCAGCTAAGGTTGATACTTTATTGAATTTCAACATGGCTACTTTCTTGTTGATGTGTGAGGAATGATAGATACACAAATTTGATCTCATTTACAAAGTAACGATGCTGCATCAGCAAGGTTGAATGTATGGTAAAACTTACTTTGCGGCTATTGCATCCCACTCCCTCATTTGGGATTGATTGGTGATTGTTGAAGAAAATGCGCCGAATAAAACATGGCTGCGACACTTGACTTCATCGGCCAAGAGTGTCAGCTCACTTGATGTAAAGTTTGATTGCCGACACCGTTTCTGTGCACTGGTAGACGGCTGTGTCATGTTGAAGTAGCAATATTAGTCGTCTGCAGATGCGAGCAGGGGAGATAACTCTCAACCGTAACTACGGGCATAATTGAGTCTCCCACACTAAAGAGTTCAACCTTAGTTTAAGGTTGCCGCTAAGTATCCTGTCCAAGTTAAGGTCGTCCAAAGGTAGTTTTGTGCAACGGGCGTAACGTTTTGATAAGGTTACCTTATGATTAACCTTAGTAACTAAGTTCAACCTTAGTAAAGGTTGTTTTGTACAACGGCACCCAGAAAAATTTGAAAGGTAGTTTGCAAAAGAAATTAGGATCGGAAATAAGGCATGAGGTGAAATCCTGTAAACAAAATACAAGAAAATAGATAATGTTCACATTCATGTGAATCTGTCACAGTAGGCAAGTTAAAGTGAAGGTTGCACTTCGACAATTTATTGACTAGAGTTATCTATTCCTAAATAGGTATTCATCTAAAATAAAGCAATTATTACAGATAGATTACAGCGACCAACAAGTGTATTTAAACAACTGTATAAACTGCCATGGAATCCTGTCTTCAGATATGCAGCAAAGCTATATGGAGCAACTGACTGTCAGATCCTCGGCATATTACAAATGTAGTTTAAAATATACTAATTGCATTGCGGTTTTTATTATAATAAAGACAATCGTCAAAGAAAGACATGATACTGGCTCTGCGGCATACCCGTTCCCAGGCAGATGAACACTAAGTCTTTCCCAGACACAGCTTCTTGAACAGAGGAAGAGTTGTAGTTCGTGCAGGAAGTGTTTGAGCAGCCAGCGCCATATTGGACATTTGAGGACAACTGTTTGATGCCATCCAGGGCAGTCATGGTAAACCGGGGATCAGAGTCGGGGGCGTAGTCGCCAAATATGTTGATTTTGTCGTTGGCGATTGGACCAACCACCTCAAAGAGAATAGGAATTACGGTTAATGATATAATATCTTTGGGAAAATGACAAAACAGTTCTGAATATATTGTAACAAATTATGATTTGACCATCAGAATGTAATACTGTAACAAAATATTTTTGCAAATAAGGTAAAACCCATGGCCCTTTCATTGTAAAAAGTACAGCAAAATTTCGCATTCATTGATGTACTGGTGAATATTCAATCCAAAGGCACTGATCCTTTTGATATTTCACACTGGAACTTTTAGCTGATCACACGTATTTGTTCTGCCCACTGTAAGAAAAGAAAGATTGTGTCAGGCATATACATACATGTATACCGCATACAAGACCTTACCCCAATAGAATTATATTTCTTTGTCAAAGGGAGGAAGTTGTTCGCGTTCTTCAGCAAGACATAGGATTTCATCGCTGCTTCAACTGCCAGGGCTCTATGGGCCTCACTCTCGATGACAGACATGTTCAGCTTAGTGTACGGGTTCGTTTCCGGTGGATCAAACTCTCCAAGCCTCATTCTGGTATAAAACAATGGTTTCACTCTCTCCCGAATCAAATCTTCCGTCAGCTTGCCTTGTTTAACTGCTTCAGCTGTTGACAGAGGGGTTGGAGCTTATGCAGAAGTGTCGTTGTCATGTAGGTTGATACATGTACAGATATGGACAGAACACTGTGTAATGAAGTGATTGCTGAAATGAGTCTATTCCACATTGCAGGAGCCCGGTCCTATCGATGACCTCTTAATCAGTTTGTGCCATGGACGGCTACACTAGTGCACTGCTTGGCTCTATAATTCTTGTTAGAAAATACATTTGCAAAGACAATTTTTTTGTCTGTGTTTACGCTCAATAAAGTATTCAAAACTGTGAGGGACTATTCTCTTTACTAGACGTTTTCAGCAACCAGACATAAGACAATGACATTGTATTTCTAAGTTATTTCCTGTTGTATTTTGTAACCACAATGTCACAATTCCTCCAAAGTAGATAGGAAAAGGAAAAAAATTAACTGATCCAAAGTCGATGCATAATCCGAAACGCGAGTGTCCACAACAACATTTCTGTATATTTCTGTATAAATCATAAACTATTTTACCCACATCTATTTGTAACGACAATCCTTTTTCTTATACATGCGTCTAAGACCGACACCGGATAGAAAATATTTCTCAATTTCAATCCTGGTTGGGGATTCGGGTCGCATTCGACAGGTCACATTCTTGAATACACCCATGTAAATCCAGGGATGCACAGTGGTCTTCATCAATCAAATCAAGAGACGAACGCAACTGAACAGTGCGTATTATTGTTAAAAGGTAGTCTCAATATTTTGAAATGTGGTATATTTGATACATTATCAAACAGTATATGTACTTTGAAATACGTGCAACTGGAAATAAAATCCCGAAACAGTTACGATTATACAAGGCGGAACTTCTACCTACTGATTAGGGAGAAGTAGGGATGAGGAAGATTCTCAGATAATTCCAGATTAACACCAGCGTTCACCGATGCTGCAGCTATGTCTACTCCGTTGTCTAGGTAGTGGTGTGTTGTCTTTATTCTCTCTATGGCTCCTTGGTCGCTGACGACGTAGCCAGTGAAGTTCCATTCGTTCCTGAGAACATCTGTCAGGAGCAGGGCGTTGGCACATGCTGGCGTGCCGTTGAAGCTAAAACATAGGACCCCCTTCTTCAACACATTCACTGATACTTCCATTCACCACTTGGCTAGTGTACACCAAGGAATATGATTAATTATAATTAATGAAGATTATAGAAACTGTAGCACAAATATCATTAATGTTGTGATACAAAGTTTAGTTGTGACATTTGTAGTTTTAATTATTTCATTTTCTTGTGACTTAAGGTACAGCAGTATCCGGAGCAGTGTTGCACCTGTTGTAGCTGCACATGATGTTGTAAGTCCCAGCCTTGACGCAGGCACGAAACGCTGGCAGGAATGTTGTACGCCAGTCTCGTACTGATACCTATACAAAGAGAAGGCAGATACAATTCTGTCAACTTAATATACACTCTTCAAAAAAGAAACGTACAGCTAGTACGTAGTTCATTGAATCTGACTACCAAAAAAAATCTGGTATAAAAATTGGATATGTTATTTGAAAATGTTGGTGGCCCGATATTCGACAAACGGTGGGTCAAAACGCAGGCATTGTCGATTTGCAATGTCTTACGCGGCATTGTTTTTACACTTATTCAAAGATGTCATGGAGGAAAACAGCAAAGCAAAATGCACTTGCAAGTTATGGCATTCGTAACTCGTGGGAGTGGCTATAAAAAGGCAAGCATAAGCTAATAATTTGTCATTCAATTGTCAACACTTTTCAAGTACGAAAATGCCGAGACTCAGCGCTGCCGATCGGAACATCGCCACAGGACGTATCCAAAGAGGGGAATAGCAGTCTTCTGTTCCACGCCACTTCAACGTCCACCACAGCACCATTTACCGCCTTCGGGCCCGATACACACAGTTCAATTCCACTGCAGACCGTTCGACAACCGGCCGACCAAGAGTTACCACCTCTGCACAGGATCGCTACATTCGACTGCTCCACCTACGTTATCGCATCCCCGGTTTGAGGAGGATATCGGACCAGACTGTCAGGAACCATCATCGCGAGGTTGGAATCCGACCCAGAAGACCAGTTATCGTCCCTGTTTGGCAACAGATCCATCGACAGCGACGCTTGCGTTGGTGCCATACCTTAATGCCTTGGAATTTGACAAACTGGAGACGATGGTGGTTTAGCGATGAGTCACGATTTCTTCTTCACCGGCGAGATGGAAGACAACGTGTTTATCTTCGTCGAAATGAGCGTTTTGCCCCACATTGTGTACGTGAATACGACAAATTCGGTGGCATGGTGTGAGGGACCATATCCTGCACCACGAGACCTGATTTGGTTGTGGTTCAGGGAAATTTGACAGCAAATCGCTACATGAATCAAATTCTTCAACCTCACCTTCTTCTAATCATTGACCGCCAGAGGGAGCTGTTTGAACAGGACAATGCTCCACCGCACACAGCTCGCGTCACGGTAGACTACCCTCATAATGCCAACATCAACGTCTTGCCCTGGCCGTCGAGATCTCCACATCTCAACCCAATCGAACACCTCTGGGATGAACTCGATCGCTGTGTACGTCAACGTCAGAACACGCCGCAGGCACTCCCACAACTGGCCAACACGTTACAAGCAGAATGGCGCAGAATTCCGCAGGAAAGAATTCGTTCACTTATCCCTTCAGTACCGAGGAGATGCAGAACCGTGATTGCTGTCCGGGGCGATCACACGAGATACTGAGTTCATCCCAACCTTATGGCCTTGTGTTCATGTGACATGACAATGAACATTTTTCAATGCCTTTGTACAACGACAACATGTGTAGGCGCTGTAGTTTACTTTCCACACATCATTCACCTTAATTACTTTGCTGTTATACCCCTAGAATACACCTGGTATCATCTAAGAACACATCGGAACAGGTAACATAAAACTGCCCACTGGCCCATTTCTTGTAGCATACAAAGTTCTCAAACTGAGGATGTTCTCTTAGTTGTACATAGTTGCTGGTTTGTGTTTGAAACCAATTCGACCTTGGTTTTATAACACCTTACCTGGTGCTCGTATGAAATGAAATCATCGTCGCGTTTGCCTTCACTCACTCATTATATATAATTACGTTTACACACTTCATTCACTAATATAAATCTTTGAAACAGTCACATACATCAAGGAAGTTACCAAGACTGTCAGCTTTATTCAATGATAGAGTTGTCGAATAGTAAGGCCACTTCTTTAAAAAACTTGTTAATGGATTTTTTCTACAAACTTTCAGAGTAGGTGGTCGAAATAAAAATAAGATAAAAATTACAAAATACAAAATATTAATTTTCGCAATGTGTGACTCTTTCTTGTTTGATGTCAGGTAGGAGTGCATCCTTCAAAGACTCACGCATGCAATCATCACTAAAGTCAATAGCAATGTTTGGAGTTTATGGTTCTTGTGATGGTTTCGGGAACCGATATGGATCTGAATCTAGATTTAGATGATCTATAAACTCATTATGCTTGCTTTTTTTCATTTGGGGCAGTTACCTTGATGTTTAACGTAGCAGCAATAAAAAATGTTGCTAGATATCTATGTTTTGCGAGACGTATGGTCGGTGGATTTGTGAACCGATCTATGAAACAAAATCGCCTAAGATATTTACCCACAATGATACTCGTTGAACGTCATTACTGCAAAGTGTACACTATATGTTACATTAATGAGAGAGTCGGGACATTAATCCTTGTGTCAGACGGGGTGTATAATGCCTGTAATACTGTCTTCGTTTAACAGATAAGATATCCAGTGTATAAATAGTATACATATCAGGGTCACTGTACTATATTTAGCTTGAAACATCTGAAACAACGTACAGCTAACAAAGGCCAAACAAACGACACGCTCAGTTTTCATTAGCTTGGAACATATGTTATATTTTAGTAGGGTTAAAGAATGCGCTGTACATTATTACAAAATATCACAAATGTGTCTCGTCTCGTGTGGCAATGAGAATAATACATTTCGCATAGCATCGACTTTGCTGTCGAAATTGGAGCATGACTTTTTAATGGCATTTTTACTTCACGTTGTGTTCATGATTGAACACACGCTTCATATGATAAAGCTTTGTGGTCCCTTCAGTAGACGTTTGTAAAAAACAATGATACATACCACGGCTGAAAAATTATGTCTAGGTACGGGGATGCTGTCTGGTCCACCGTAGGCGTCGAGGACTTTACAACCGGAATTAGTTCTGATGAAGCGTGAGTCTTTACCTTGCAGGCCTTTCACAGACATGGCGGCAAAAACACCAGACATGTACGGATCTTCTCCAAAAACCTCCTGATTTCAGTAAGCAGTTTTGTTTATATGACATTAACAGTTCGATGCAAAAGAGTGCTAAACTTTGACATCTCATAAACCGGAACCTCTGGGGACTATTATATATAATTATCCATATCGAATTTTAGTAACAAGGTTTTACTGTTTGGCATTTTCATCATTCTAAAGTGATAAAAGGATCGCAACACATTTATGTTCGTTTCTTGTCGCACTCAGCAATATTCCAGCTATAAGACGGCAATCTGTAAATAATTGAGCCTGGCGAGACAATGATTGATATCATGAGCATCGATCAACACAATTGGGATATGATGACATACATCTTCCAACTCAGCGAGCCTGACCACCCGATACCGTTAGTCGCCTTTTACGACTAGCATATACTAACTCGGAACTTTATTTTATTCGCTTGCGCTTTATTTATTTGTGAAGTGTTAACTTCGTTAATTTGTTCCCGGTACCTGTATGAACATTCTCCATGCTTTTACTTTCTTTCGGAAATATTCTTGTAGTTTCATCTTTAAAATCTCGGCGGAATAACCAAATAACATCCTGAAAAGCTATCTCAGAGTCAATCATGTCCTTGGCCATCCATAATTTCATCTGAATAAAACATATTTACACACTTATAGTTATAACGATGCAAAGATGAAAGAGTGTGACCTGGTTTCGTCCCCATCTTGGGTCCCTCATGATGTTCATGAAGGGGCTGAAGCAGCTTATGCCTTTGTGGTCGCCGTACTGCTTTTTGCTGATGAAGTCGTTATATTTAGCACGCACTTCAACACTAGTGGCCTCCGCAACCCGGTATATAAGGTCCTTGCTGTGAAAAATACACCCCTGCAATGGTCACGTCTTGTGAAAGTGTCTTGTGACTATACACGCACTCACGGACACACGCGCTCACGCAACACATTCACAGATGGCAAATGCCAAACATCAAACAATAATTGAAACATCACTGTACATCGAATTTAAAGCTGTCTGTTCCACGGCGTCATCAGGTACTTAGGAACGTGTATCCGTTATTGCAGGGGCATTCATAGTCCCCATACACAAATAGTTCTAGTACATATGGGGTTAAATCCCATCTGGGATTCGAACCCACACTCTCAGATTGAGGCACCTAATCTCCAGCACACAAAGTCAGCGATCTGACCCACACAGCAACCGTGTGCTGGCGATTACAAAAGGGCTAAGAAATTGGACTCCTGATTAAAATATCTTTTAACAAAAGTCTTATCTATGATGAGGTGTCTGACAAAAACGTTTTAAATAATTCAAACACGGTTCATTGTTGCATAGTCAAAAGCAGGTCATTGTATAAAAGCTGGTCTGTGTCTTTTTACTCGTCTTTTCTTTCCTTTCCTTCATGGAAACAATAATTGTGTTAAGTGGTCATCAATGGAAAATTTAATCCACCCAATCAGATCCCTACCTGAAGGCAGCTGCTAACCCTAGAGCTTGGGGAAAGGATGTGGCATTCCCCGCCCCCACGTCTCCCCTCAGACATTCCGTGTTCCAGGAGTAGGGGCCGATACCTAGACGAGGGATAGCGGGAGCAGGTCCTCCAAAATTACCATGTCCCCCTCGGGCCATCTGTTCTTGCATCTCCTCCAGGGTGAGGCGCCCGACTAGGTCCTCTACCCTCACATCCCACGGTAGGGATGTATTTCTGAAGGGATAATCCCCCAGTGCAAGGAGACATTGGAGGATGAACACATATGCATATAGGACACCGCACATGCTAACACTTGTCTACTTTTTACAGCTGTCCAGTTTGAACTGAGACTACAAAGCAACTATCAGATAAGCAGCATACATTACCTTGACACTGACCTCTAGCACCATGTTCCTAAAGGATGACAGGGTATGGTAAGAAATAAATCATGTCAAAAGAGGCCAAGAATATCAACGTTAAAGTTTCAATGGCGGTTCATTGGCAGTATTTAAAGGAACAAAGTTTCATGATTGTATATACATATTTATTGCTCCTTAGGTGACAGTACACCACCAATCAAAGATCAGTAGACAAACTATCTGTAATAGCACCGATGTAAAATTACTATGACAATGTTTGCAGAAAAATAACTTAGTCTAGCAGTCTTTTGTCACGATGTCTACAGCCTGTCACCCCAACCAGATCCCATGTTGATTTCACGTTACAGGCTGCGATGAAACTCCCGATGTACCTAGGGGTGGTTATGAATCACTTCTTGATGTCTGTTACGTTTTTGTCTACCTGTGACCCCTTTTCAGAAAGGCCTAAAAGCTGGCCTATTTACCCACTTGAGCACCGATTATATGTTTTAGATTAGATACATCATATTTATACATTTGACACCTCGTGCTAAGGAACTCGATTCCAAATTAAAATAAGCAATATCTAATCTATAATGAAACCACCTCAAGTTTCCAAACACAGCAGGCTTATCATTCAACTAACATGTGTTTTTTTAGTCATCTTTGACAATTTGACGTGTAACAGTCCAGTGACTTGCTGATTATTGACTTCAAATATCGAGTGAAGGAATTGCAGCGTAAAAGTTCAAGTTTAGTAGATTTTCCTCTGATCTAGTCTTTTGAACAGAATGGTGACCAGGGTTCCGTTGTACAAGACAGTCTTAGCGCTAAAATGAACGTAAGTCCCATACCTTAACTTAGACTTACGACAGTCGTAACGCTAAGGTTGTTTTGTACAACGTTTATTATTTGTAAATAATAATTCTTCTTACAGATATACGTGGCAAAAATGTGTCTAGGGATCACTGATCTCGCCCCTTATTTCGCCTAACGGTTTTAGACGCAGTATTGCACCTGTTATATACTTATTAGGCATGAAGTTTAAAATGGAACAATTTTGGGGGATATGTTGTAAAAATAGTATTAAAATATACTTGTGAGGTTAGATTTATGGTATATTGAAATTAATGTATGACGGTAATCTAGAATGCAAAACTTTACATATACAAACACTTACATTATAAATATGTATATTCACACCATATAATGACCCTTGTTAAAGGATATTTAATGATGTATTATTGCTTTCTAAACAACATTCGTTTGAAATAGTTTTCTGTTACAACCCACAAACTAATTCCTAATTAGGAGACAAACCTATTCTGTTTTAAATTTTGAGGTGGTTCATCGTTGATTAAACACCACTAAATGTATTACCTCAAAATATAAAACAGAATAGGTTTTTCTCTATTGTACCATAACTAAAATGCGTTTTTGTACAACAGACTCCTTCTTGCGCACGTACTTACACTGCAGTGATGCGATCGAAACGCGAATACCATTTCGTGGAATCGCAATTGTTCAATGGCTGTGTTTAGATCAAATATTCTGCAGTTTATCCAAGCTAGTTCAGTTTTCGATAACCAAACCCGCTGGCTGGTTTGTTGGTTGGTTTGTTGTTTAACGCCGCACTCAGCAATATCCCAGCTATATGACGGCGGTACGTAAATAATCGAGTCTGGACCAGACAATCCAGTGATTAACATCATGAGCATCGATCCACGCAATTGGGATCGATGACATGAATCAACCAAGTCAGTGAGCCTGACCACCCGATCCCGTTAGTCGCCTTTTACGACAAGCATATTCACCTTTTACGGCAAGCATGGGTCATTGTACATTAACTTGTCTGATACCGATTGATGTCGAGAAACATGGATAATATCAAATAACGTGCTTAAATCACACCACGCGCGATCATTTGTCCCAGAGATGGTGTTGTTTTGTTTGTATTATGTGACTCAAGATCAAAGTTGTTTTTTATGAATGAAATGTATTTCTTGATTTAAACGTAGATAGTTAAATATATGAATGCAAATCAGCATAGTAAGAAGTTGCTCGGTGCATTGTAAGTACGTGCTGTTACAAAATAGTCATTCTGGAACTGGGGCACGGGTGGCTGCGATTCGCTTTGCAAAGTTGCGTCCCTTGGGCACGCCAGAAACCTATGAATGTGTGTTTGAATCCCGGTTCGCCCCGATTATGTTTCTAGGTTCGTCAGTACCATACCCTTGCTCGTGGGTTTCTCCGGTGGTAAACGTCTGAGACCTGCATCACTTCGGGCTTTCCTCCAACATTAAGCTGACATGCCGTGATATAACTGGAATACTGTTAAAAGCGGCGTTAAACCCAGCCCATGCACTCATTCTGGAACTTACAGCGGCTTGTGCGTAATTGACAGCAGCTTTCGCTTATGACATTTGTTATAAACAAGAGATATGATTTTAGGGGATAATATACATTGTATCAATGTTCTCAGGTTTACCTCCATGGAATCACTTAAAATTATTAGTATCTTAGATTCCAACGTATGATCCCATTGTATTGTCGTTATCCTAAAATAACCAATACTCTTATCATTTAACTAATGGTTTTAGTTCATCAATACTTTTCAAAACATGTATCCAAAACAAAAGCTGCATTTACACCTTTAGTAAAAGTAGTAGTTTTTTAATAATTGACTCTGTCTTCCTTTTTGCTAATTTATTACCAAGTGTGTTTTATCCTAACTGTTAACATATTTGTAATCAGGATGTGACCAGCAGGTTCTTTCAGCATCAACTTCCTGTTAACATTCATTTCCTTCCCCCATGTTATATAAAATGTGTTGCTAGAGGCGTTTTCCTAACAATCTCTTGTATCCAGGATTGCCCTACACTTACCCATGACGGCATGACTTTGTAATGGGTAAAATCAAAAGTATCACAAACGTTTGACAAATGGGACAAACTAAGAATGTTGGATTGAAACCTAAGGGCTCCTGACAATGCTATGGTTAGTTCACTTGGCTATTAATGTCCGCATAAACGCATATATGTCAACCGAAATGTGTGTCTTGTTCATTGTACTCCTATGTGTTACCGGTCGGCTGTAGCGTGCATGCATTTCACACTTTAAGAAAGCCTTCGTAGTCGACATGGCATGTAGATTCCAGGGAAAGACTGACACAAAAGTACTCAATGATAATCATTAAGTCGAAGACATGAGCACCATCGGGATATATCGATCTGTTCATATCTATCGATATGTTCGTCAGAAGCTGACTATATGACGATATGTTAATAGTTCCAATTTAAACTGATCTTTGTCGATCTGTTTGTAGTTTGTGAGAAACTGTCTTGAACAACATTCGAGTAACTGCGGTCTCACTATATATAATCTTCTTAGTACCTAGGTGAGGTGAGGTGAAATTGGGTTTAACGTCGCGTCCAAGATTATTACACTTATATATAGCGACGTGCATGCACGTATGTGTGTGTGTGGCTGCTTGAACTAGTCCGGACTGATGCCGATTTATACACTGAGATACCATGCCGCAGTTTAACATGACTACCCCACTTAGACACAGTATACTGACTCCGAGCCGACCAGTCCTTGTTTTAGCCCCTTAATGCCGAGCGCCAGACAGGGTAGCAACAAGTACCATATTTTAACGTCTTTTCGTATGACGCGACCGGGAAACGAACCCCGGACCTTCCGCTCTCCGGGCGGACGCTATACCACTAGACCACGGAGGCGGTTCTTAGTACTAAGAAATAGGGGGAGCGCAACAATGTCAAACTCCCTTTCCCCGGGTGTACACCATTAATCATGTAAATATGAAGATATTGTCTAGAAATACACATCAATAGCCCAGAGACGGTTGCATCATCTTTGTGCGAACATGTGATACTTTCTAAGAACTCAAGATTACTATAATGTGCTATGTCTACAACATTCCTGTCCAGTGATTTCAAAAGCAAGACTACTTTACATCATTCCCAGGGCGTATCATACCCCTGAACAAACACCATTTCAACTCTTGCAATCAATATTTAAAACATCTACAACATACAGATTAAGATATAAATGTATACAAATATGTGTCCCTGTCCTTTAAGTCCCTGGTGATCTGTTTTGCTTCGTTACGTGTGCCCCAGCTGTAAATATCACTGGCATCTGCATCCCAGTGTATGAGATCCTTGCTGTAACAAACATATACTTCCAGTGGGTTGTGTAAGTGTAAATTCTGAACACAGGTCCGCACGTACACACACACAGGAACACGACACGTTGGTAAGAAACTCCTTCATACTTACACTTAGATGACAAACCTTAAAATATGTCATAAAGCATTCAACAATATCTGAGAATATGAGCAGATTATGTTCACTGTCATCCAATCAATTCTGTTTGCTTTATTTATTCGAATATTTAAAATGTTTTCTGTTGTTCCTTTTCTGGGGTAGCTGAAAGTCATGTCATTCGAGAAACAGATTGTTTTTGTTTTTGGAGAGACAAAACAATGTTAACTCCTGTTCTAATACTCTTGTTGTCAAGTGCAACGGAACAGGACTGTTGCTAAATACGAGGGAATATCCAAATTTCAAGTAAGTGCAAACCCGTTGCTCATCTTTTTTCTCTCGATCCGACAAATGGCTCAATAAATAAGATACCAATCACAACTCGATATCTTTTCTGCCTTGAAAACATTCGTGTATGGTTCAGGATGAACGGATTTCACATTGTAAGATAAAAATAGCCCGGTCACATGTCAGCAACACTGACGCCAATAGTAGTATGTTGTGTGTCTATTATTAATGACAGTCACTGGGAATTTTACTAGCATGGATCAGCACAGAACCGATGTTTATGAAACTTAAATCGTGCACAGTTTCGTTATCAATTCCATTGGAAAAGGTCAAAAGGTTTTGCCCGAATAACGTGATACCGTTACCTTGTGAAAAGAAACGCAATCGATAGTCAATAACATTCTACAGGTATCTATGAATTTACTCAAATCTTTTTTTACGCTTATTTAGGATCTACTTTAAATGATCGGACAATTCAGCAATGATAACCAGTATCTAATCGACGATGTCGACTGAACGCACTGTGACTGTGACTATTTCACTTCGGTTGTTCAAAAGTTATTCAACTATCATATGTATGTAGTTGAAATTTAAGTTGATACTGATGATTTTCATATCCTTCATGTTATTAGATATGAATGAATGAGTGAATTGCAGTGGTGCATCGACATAAACATGAACCTAAAACCTAGTTATGGAGGATGTGCCATTATCCGCTTATCCCTATTTTATGCAATTTGTAATATATATATATTATTATACATATTATATTCATGAGTGTCACATATGCAGTTATATGACAAGAATAGAAGTCAAATTTGCATCAAAACTCATATTTCACGGTCATAACATTACAAACCAGTATTTTTCCATGGTGTAAAAAAACCCATTATTTTCCTGTGATGACGGAACTTGTTTCATCCAGAGTTATAGCCCTTGAAAGTTGTCGTCATTGGTTCGTCTGCTTACGTAAAACCGGATCAAAACAATATGAGTAACAACTTTTTACCTTGGGATTTTGCCTACTTAATTTCATACCAAAAACTAGAACCATGCTGTCTGTTGTGTTCTTGTTTGACTTGAGTACCATAAACTTGCGACGAAAAGGCCACTAATCTTTGCTATGAGTTTTCAAACTTCACGTGATGAAATATATACCCTATTTGACAAAAAGCATGAAATAGAACTTATATCCTACCCTGACCTACATATCTAGGGACACACATATTACTTTAAAGTTTAGAAAGCCTAAGACTGAACAATTGTATTTGTGAACCATTACTTTGAACAAGTTATTAAATAAACTTGTCCAATCACTAACCTCCCCACTCACAACCGCAGTTCTTGTTGTGCTTGTGATATATAAAACGTGGTGTAGCATATCTCATTAACACAAAAATTATACGAAAGATATATTGTGTCATCGGACTCAATGTGCGATTTATGAAATATCTCTGGACTGTAGCAGGGTCATGTCCACTTAAACATGTTTACCCACTACTTAAAAACGAAACAAAACAAAACAAAGCACAACAAAAAGGCATTAGTGGTTGACACTGACACTGACATGAGAATAGCGTTGTTTATAAAACATGCAATAAAGAAATTGGCATACTTTGGACAAATATCAGTATCATACAAAACAATGCAGTGACACATATTAACTAATAATAGCGTATTAAACAGCAGATGTGTTTACATAGAAGTCGTTTACCAACCTAAGACGTCATGAGTCGAACATGAATACATCTTGCGACTGCCCACAAAGACCACTTAGCTATAAAATATTGATCATATTTGAAATATTTGTTTGATACAAACATGTACTCAGATATGCAAAGGTAATAAAGGTATGTTCATTTACTTTCATGTGAAATTAATGTAGAAATATAAACTATGTGAGCTTTGAACAGTCACTGATATAAGCCACCGAGCCACGTCTTTTTAAAGGCTAATAATGTCATCATGCAAACACATTACCTTACACGTTGAACGATTTGGCGAAGAATGTTCTTTTTCTGTCCACGGTTGGAAATGTAAGATTTCTTGCTGAATCATAACATATTGATAGCTATAACCAGTCTGGTTAGACACTAGTAACAGAATTAGTTGGCTGTTAACAAATGGACCAAAATTACGTCTCCACCATATTCTCAAAACTATATTGTTTGCATCTCTGTGTTTGTGTACGTGTCCATCTGAAGAACCATTGTCATAATAGCAACGGTGCTGCCTGTAACATCTGTGAGCATCAGTTACTGTACTTTAATTAACACTTCTCATTTACATATTATACCTTTAGAGAATATAAACAACACATACACTAAAATCACACATGTTTGCATATGTAGTATTTACGGAAAGCATACGTATTGTTTGATCGGAATTTCTTAGAAGTTGACGGATGACAAAGTAGACACAATTTATGAATAACAACTTCTTTATTTTACTGTAATGCTTGACAACGGTATAAGGATCTGCATCGAAAAGTCGCCATTACATTGAAACAAAGACGTTGTTATCCATAAGTTGTGTCTACCTTGTCATATCATACGTATTACTATCTGCATTTGATATATTTAACACTACTAGAATTGTAAGAACATTGACACCACCTCATGACATCACTGGAAATGTGGTTGTTGATTATATATAGATTATCATTTACAAGAGTTTTTTCACATCTTACATGATATGTAAATGCTTGATTCGTTGACTATTTAACTTCTTTACTTGATTAATTGGTTGCTAGCTTTGCTGTATATTAAATTATATCATTAACTTATCTTAAACTGTTTAAATATACACAAATCGTTAAACATAAAACATATTTATTTTTGCTTGATTTAAACTTTGTTTACCATATATATTTGTCATTTATTTATTTTATAAAATGTACACGAGTTGATAAGTATGATACAATGACACATATTAACTAAAATGGCGTATTAAAAGCAGATGTGTTTACATAGAAGTCGTTTACCATCCTAAGACGTCACATGAATTCATTTTGTGGCTGTCCATCTGTGTTGATGTCTGCATTGATCAATCCTCATATTACCATTGTCCGTTATGATACACATGTATCCCTTACAGTAACACGTACATGTTATTATATATCAGAAGTATATATACTTTCTGACAATTTGTCATGGAGAGGTCAGTGACCCACCTCGGTTAGGAAGTCAAGGGATGTGTCATAAATGACGACGTTGAATACAGTTATGGACATAATATAGAAAATAGATATTATAGTTTGTTGTTTAGTTTTCAAAAGTTTCAAATAAATCGGAAAAAATATAAAAATTGAAAATTATATTTGTAAAATAAAGTAAAAACTCTGATAAAATCTGAAAGCCGAGTATGCATGATGTTGCGAAAAATTGCTGTTGTGAGAGGGGAATGTCAATCGAAAACAAATATTAGTAAATTCAAGTACAAAAATATATTTTTATAATACAATTTATAAAGGAAACTCCAATAATAAACTTTTTTTGCTTGAGGTTCAAATGCGGATAAAATCAATATCGTAGACAGCCACACCTCTTTGTTATAAAAGATGTATCCATCGAGAGAAATAGCAAAAAATACGGCCCTTATCTCAGATAATTCCATCGTTATAAATATATAAGTGCATCTCTTGTGATTACCAATACCTAATACTTAAGGAAAAGACTTCACCAAAATGATCTCAAATGGGTATTTGTGCATGACAATAATGGTTCAGCATGATAACATCTTTTTGTTGGGACATTACATCTTTATTTAAACATTAGATAATAACATGAATCAAACAGAACACAACATGCTGAAATCAACAAAACTCAACATGCTGTTGATCAAGCACAAACAACTTCAAACCATTACATAAAGTTGTAAAATAAAGAATATATAATCCCTGAATCGTAATAAAATCCCAAATAAATATACTCTTCATCACTGAGTCCCAAGCACTGGGGATCATCACATACTCAACGAGATAACACGGACAGTTTATTTGAGGTTAACCGCGGCTCGTTACACAGGAAATGAGTCAAAAGACTTGACAAGTGTCCACGTATGAAATTTAGATTACTTGTAGCCAGTATGTAACATTTTTCGCGCGTTAAGTGTTCATCTGTGATTACTTTTCGTTAGTCTTATATGTGTATGTAGTTACTTATGTAGAAGGTTTTATTCTTAACATATTCAAAACATACTTGTGTACCACAACTTTTTGAAAATATAGTTCAAACATGGTGACTGAAACCAACAGCCGAGGGTACCTGCACTACAGTGATCAGGGTTATTATATACAAACGGCCCCAGATTACTACTTTTCTGCATCTGACAAGGCGTTCATGCACACTGGGATGTTTACATGACGGGACGGTCATGTGCTAACGAGGTCGAAGGGTAAAGAAATCATAGTTCCGGCTCACAATGGCTACGACTCACCACGAAGTTTGTATTGCATCGTGTTCAGAGTAAGATTGGCCTAAGCCCTCCAAGAACATTACCGGACATATTGTAAAGCACAGGTCATATTCGTAAACGTTGGAGCAGTCTTCAGGTAAGGCATCTTGACCTCTTGCTAATTACCTGTATAGAAATATGGCAACATTAGCCTTTGAGCATCCATGTTCCTCTATCATTCCACGACCTCACATCCAAGTATACATGTATTATTCGCATCATGGAAGTGTTCATACTGCATAACAACATTAATCGAGACAATGCTATTTTCAATTTGAGCTGTTAGTTAAATACCTCATTCAATATTTATAACCGTGAACATATATTTCATGATGCAGTGACCTCAATACGAATCTAACCTCTTTCCCTATTTCCACTATAACACACTGCCAGAGAAAACCAATATACAATATTTACAAGGGTCATATGCCAATATAATTAAGTCGTAAAGCATATTTACATTGGCATTAGTGATTGCTTTGTATGTGATATGAAAAGATGATGAAACACAGACATGGTGTTAAAATGGCTGCCTTATGTACCGATAGGTAGCCCCATGTTATGAGAAGTCGGAGGGCAGGAGCAAACTACATGGTGTGCAAAATGTGAGCAAGTGGGCAATAGCTGGTCATACATGCAGTTTCAATGGTTTGGGATTCCCGTTATCACTCAAATGATAATGCAACAATATGATTATTTTGAAAAGTCTTTTTGTGACTGTTGTGTTTTTCATTCTGAAAGAATAGATGTATTTCCTCACCGACTGCGATAATACAAGAGTGTCTAAAGAACCTAGCAGTTGGTACAAATGTGTCACCAATGTATGTGGTTGTGTGTTGTGTTTCACTTCAGCCAGGTTACCTGCTGATGTTTAACTATCACTGCATTGTAGGGATGTATCTCCTAGACAGAGCAACTTTTCTGTCTTAAAATAAATTACGCCAGCAAGAGATTGTCAAACTTTCATTTGGAGATGTTTATTCATATAAATATTTCAGCTAACAAACACAAAAAGGGACAATGTAATATTGCAAGCATTACTTATCTAATCATTTAATTTTATTTACGGTTTAACAATGGAAAAGAAGGCCAACGGCTTTGTCAAATATTTTATTCATTTTGTGAAATTGTATGTTTGGAATATGTTTTCTCTGAATACACATCAACATCATTATAAAGGCATAACATATTTATTTTTCCCAGTTGTTAAGATAAGAACAAAACTCTATACTACAATCTTCTCATAAATGTGCCAACTATGTGTTATATAAGACACTTTCACATGTGGAAACATACTTGTGCATTGCAATTCCTTTACATTTGAGAATTTGTTTCACAAGATTTAGATGTAGAAATGTTAGACTTTATGACAGAAACAGGAAGATACACTAATATACCGTACCATTAGTAAATACATCAGAAATGACAGTGCAGTAAACATATTCATAAATATTAGATACACAATAAGTGATCTCTGTTTATACATATTAATGTGCAAAAAATAAGAAATATGTTCAATGTCACTTAATATACCTATTTTCCAAGAATGCTGCATACGATACGTGTATGTAGCTAGATATGTGTATGTCTGCGCATGTATTTGACAACCTGATACAAAGAAAACTACTAATTGCATCCCTAAGTACTTCACCTATATAAATGTGTGTACATGTGTATGTGTATTTATGTGTGTGTGTATATATATGTGTGTATGGACGTATAGTAACGCTAAGAAACCTTTTTATGTCTATATTTTGGCCCATCGACCTCTATATTGAATAAATTTCTTGTTTCTATGTATTTTCATAGCACCTTTTAATGTCACCCAATGAAGGCCAACGTTACTAATCAAGCAACTTATATGTAAAGAACACCATAACATATATTTAAAGGTATCATGACAGCATTTCAAAAGTGCCAGCATATTGTGTAGACAATTTTAAACGAAAATCAAAATATTGTTTGACTTTCGATCTCGATACACTGATTGAGTGGTAATGCTGAGTGCGCAGTTAAACAACAAACAAACAAACAAACAAACAAACAAACAAACAAAACCTTAACAATCTAAACCCTCTTAAGTGTATAAGATATGTGTACATTATCTAGTTTTGATACCACGATCACCATTTGTTCAATCATTGAAATCATTGAAAAAACTGGTACTACCTTTTAGACTACTTTTACAATAGGCACTTCCGAATATCATAATGCATGATTATTTACACTAAAACAGTTCAATGTCATGATCTTTGACTGCGTCATGTAATCGAAATTAGACTCCAGTCAGCAACAATCGAGTAGATAATGGAGGGGTGTGATGCTAATGAAAGTTGTCCGAGTAATGAATTCCCGGGGAAATTACATCATGCGAAATTGTTTTTGATGACATTTTCGCCTTTGTAAGAGTTAATTATGTGTACTACATCTCATATGAACAAATTTGCCACAGGCAAACACGCTAAAAGTAAGTAAATCTCTTATTCAGGGCCTTGTGTCAGATTGCAATCCCCGTTGTATTTATAAGAACCAATGTCTGTATATATATGTATTAGGGAGAGGGGCACCTGAGTTAGATATATTTGCCCAGTCCAATTGACCATCAATGTCTATAAAATATGTTTAAAACAAACCAATTGTATGAACAATTGTGTGATTCATATGGTTCATGAAAGCTGGGAGTTTGCACCCTGACGTAACCCCTTGTATGTGACGTGTGCAAGGCTGCTTAATATGTCAATGTGTTTCCTGATAGGATAATATATCTATATTATGATGTTAGCAACCAAACATGTCCTTTGCCTGTTTACAGTAGGAACATGCAAGATATATTGTGGTAATATTAAGATGAAATATCTACGTAACAAGTCACTAACACGCACAATCTGTCAATGACCTAAATATGTAATCTATACTCTGATATTGTTCTGTAGATTATTTCACCGAGATACACCAAAGGCTGGTAGTGTTAATAAAAAATTTTTTGATTGTTACGTTCCAACACCATGGCGAAGTAAATATGAATACAAAATTGAAACATAACTATTCCAAGCAAACTCTAGAGAAGTTGCTCAGAATGTATCGCATTTTACTGACCTTTAGAGTAACACGTGGCAATGCGAACCCCCCTCCCCATACACACACACTTGTACTTTATATGCCGATTCTGTACACCGTAGAACTAAATAAGTCAGTATCTATGTGACACTAAAGCGGGCCCTAGTTTTCGCCTATTCGAATTAGACAAAGCGTTTCTGCGCAACCATTAAAGTAGGTCAGGATAGAAATGTAATACATACGTCACAGACTGCTGCAAGTACGACTAACGCCTCCCGTGTGAGCTTACTTCGCTTCATATATTCGAAAAGGAACATTGTAACCCTCTGACGACCCCGCATATCTGCCACGCGCAACTTAACTATTTCGGGGTATTATAAAATGCACCATTGTCTTAAAACTATTGAATATCAATGGTTTCAGAGCATGACGCAATGAAGTTAACCGTTAATAAAATACAGATGTTTTATCTATACCCTATGGACACCGAGTGTTGATACATTTACGTTTGTATCCGCAATCGTTGATATAACGTGGCACTTGACGCACCACTCAACGATATAAATCTGTGCATGCTTCATACACCTAAAAGCAATCCATGGCGACATGTGGTGGTCATCGAATATTCAGTATCAACGCTTTTGCTAAAACACTAAAGTAAAGTTTTAGGAGATATGTATTCGACATTTCCACTGAGGGATCAAATGCCTTGTGTTAGGACTTCCTTTTACTTCTTGGGTGAATTTAGAATAGAAATGGAATCATAAAAGAGGACATGACCATGAATCTTCATCACAAATAGCTTCTTCTGTCACCAGAAACCTGTATCAACAACTCACCCAGCAACTCGCTCTAAAACAATCCGTGGTGATGAGTAGCCAAGTGGTTAAAGCGTTCACGTGTCACATCCATCCGGGTTGGATTCCCACATGGGTACAATTTCTGGGTGACTATTCCGCTGCCCCCGCCGTCATGGTCCGGAACATTGCAAAAGCAGCATAAAACAATATTCACCTCACTCACTCTGAAGCAAGCAAAATGGCTCCTCACGCACACTGATATAAGCAGAATTGCGCATAAAAGGTTTCTTAATTAAATAGTATAGCATGGCATGTATCTTCTGCGGGAAACGATCACTAAACATATACTAATACACCTGGGGTTTAAATAATGACCGAAGAGGTCTTTCACATTAACTAGGTACCATTGTTCGTAGAATAATCCATCTAACATTAATAATATGTGAGCTGTATTCCTTCAACTGTATGATAGTTTTGACATAGTAATATCACAGCTCCGCATGAACATATCGGTTTTATTGTGGTGTCCAATATTTTGAAACAAAATGAAATGTACTGTTTCAATAAATAGAATTCGTTTTTTTCCTAATTCTAGAAATACCGGCTTTGATTCAAAAGGTATCTTATGTATGTCGCTGAAAACTGACTGATAAGAAAGCACCAAGGAAATTACATTTTGAAAAACCAGTACTTTAATATCCATAACAGTATGAACACAAGATAGCTCCAGGTCAACAGTACACTTAATGACAACCTATGTGATTATTCAATATATAATTAATCATATAATAATTATGTAGTTTTAGATTTCTAAAATATTTCATATAACTTAATTAAAAAAACACAACCTATGATGCAAATAGGCTTGTCATCAATATTATCAGTGAAACATAAGCAAACATAATCCCTATATAATCCCTATATATGTTTCAGGTGTACCATGGCTCTACCAGAGATTTCAGACGCGGCCGAACACAATCAGGAAGCAGTTTCCGGTGAGTTACATTATTACAATATCAAAATTCATCTTTTAAGGTGCCGTCGGAATTCTTATGGGTAGAATATCATCATTCTGCTTGTCTAATTCGACATGTAAATTACCACTGTATCTACACATACAAGTGTGTGGTTCTCATTTGTAAAGATATACATATGTGATATGTGATATGTGATAATGCTATTTTCTGCCTTTGGAGTTTCTGTGTAAGTTAGAATTAGGAACATTTCAGCTTTATATATCGACGAGTTTAAATATTGATATCAGCATAAGTACTTAATACATTGTTAACGTGTTTTAACGTAACTTGACATAACTTCTATTATCTTCCCTTGCTGAGTTAATATGTTGTTTTCTCTTGACAGCTGCTGAAGCTGCTGGAGGTGTCCGAGACGCTCGTCACCCTGTACCGACGATGGATGGATTTGCTGGTGAATTGCCTGGTGATAGTAATGCTGACACACTGTCGCAACAGGCTGTTATAACTTCAATTGCTCAAACAGTAACATCGGTCACTGGTTCAGAGGCTTTGGGCGTCGTGGGCAAAAACACAGCCAGTCAACCACTGGGATGCCTTAGCATTTCTACACAGGAAGCTCTGCCAAAAGATGCTGTCAAGGACAAGGTGAACGAACATGTTAATGAAGTGGCATCATATAAAGAATGTTCCACAAATTCGACAGAAAACCCAGAGGATGCTCTTAATGCTCCGTCGCTTTCAACTGACAGTCTGAAATCTAGTTTGCCTCCGCTCTCAGTACAGCGGGACATTGAAGTGTTAAGGGAAAGTAAAGAGGTTGTCATGGGTGACTCTGCTCAAACGCCGGCAGTAAGCTATGAGAAAACTAAGTGTGACTTGAGCCACTTTGCTGAAAGTGCACACACTCCACAGCATCAACATATGACATCTGGTTATGTTAGCGAAGAAACACAAACAAAACCAGGATCGCAAACGAACAGCAGGCGGCATCGAAATTCTGGTCATTCTAAGAAGAGCAGGCACAACATCAGCTCACGTGGTTCCAAGGAGAGCAGGTCGAACATCATCTCTTGTCTTTCAAAGAAGAAATCAAAAGACAATTGTGCACCTAATTCCATTTCTGCTTGTTCCGGGTTCCTACAACTGTCAGAAGAAGGGGTTGAAGAGCTCAAGCGAATGTCAGGCACACAACATGAACCTTTGCATAAGGAATATCTCAATTTCGTGCTTAGAGTTCAGTCTTTCAAAAACTTAAGCTCTATTTACGGTGTAAAGAAGGATGTCTTAGCCCTTGCTGGATTCTTTTATTCAGGTATTAAAACGCCAATACCGCAATTGTATTTCCATTTGACTGTCTTTAACAATGCATTTTATATCATATTAATGATTTAGCGTTGACGATTACACCAACACATGTATAACCAACTACTAAATATTATTAAGAAAGTTGGTGTCACATAAACATAACTACAAGGACAGTACGGCGGTATATTATCAATGATCCATCTCTCATTTCTTTCTGGATTGCAGGCTCTGGAACAGTCACATGTTATCACTGTGGGTGTTCTCCGAGGGTCTGGGAAGAAACGTCAGAGCCAAAACATCTGCATTTCCAATTGACACCAAACTGTAGATTCATCCGTCCCTTAAGGAAGAGGATCTCGTGAAATGGTTTGGAAGGACATGATGCAATTTATTTGAGACAGGTGAACAAGTATACAAGTTAAATTAGTAATTAAAAGGGTGCATTTTTGGGGTTCCATGCCAATGTGAAACAGCAATTCAGCCGCACCACCACAGTCAGCAAATAATACCTATGTAAAATATCGTTATTTGAATAATGCTGACAACATAGGGTTGTACCAGTGTAAATATTAATGTATAATGTACATTGAAGATATAGTGATGTTATTCTGTTTGAAGGATACAATCCTACAAAGTGCAAGTGACTGCATGATGTGACATGGTCTGTAGACATGCCCAGCCCTGCACAGTGGATAGTTGTGGATGATGGATAGCCCACCACTAGGATCAGCTATGACTTGCAAGGCTGGAACATAGTGTATGTTATTATGCCTGAAAGTGAGATTTACCAACCAGAGAGCAAAACTACAAGCCACATGTGAGCCCGTATTCCGTCAGAAGAAATCCAAGATGATTGTTACTGACCTAATATGAGATCGTATATCGTCAAGAACAGCCATTTTGAATTTTTCTAACATCCACATATTGTACATTAAAAGCTTGGTACAGTTCCTGACTTTATCAATATGAATTATAGTTAAAGGGTTCAGCAAGGTTTCGCCTCTAAGGTTTGAAGAGTGGTCTCCCTTTAATCTTTAGTGCAAAGTTTTCACCAGATGGTGTAAACCTTTCCGCATAATAAATACACGACACCATAATTAATATTGTATTGTTCACCTTCGTATGTACAGGGTATCAGCTAAAGATGGATATGATTTGTAAGGGAAAAGTAAGCCCTAAAACTTTCTATATCTCTCTGTAACCCATCAAAATAAAGAAAACTAGTATTTGCCTTGCAGGCTATGTTATGATATGTTATTAATACTCTGGCGTCGCCCGTGTGCACGGAAGAAGATACAATACTGAGGAATCGTACTGCACCGTTGTTTCACCAAACCATTTTACATTGTAATTGCATGAACACTAGGCGATGTGACATATGAGCTCGATGATGATTGATGGTTTACTGACATCCGAAACGACATTTATTTTTCTATATTTAGCCACGACATTTTAGTACAGTTAATGAAGCATCTACTAAATTCTGGATTGTACTGGCCGTCGTGATATTACGGCGTTAAGCAACCAATAAGGTTACTAACTGACTCTCTTGCTGATTATAACATGTGATGATGGTCGTACATCCGGAATCAAGTCAAGTATAGAACATGGGGCAATGTTCCCCCATTAAAGTTCGGCAAAAATACCTATACATACGTGTTCCTTTCTATAATGTCAGGTAGTCAGCAGAAAATGTATTTTAATTTTATTACATTTGTTCATTCTATTGCTGTTTCGGGCTGTGTGTAAAAGGTCGGGGTAACTCGGAACCACATACAAGCGTATGGTATAAATGCCAAAGCGTATTCGTATATCTGTTATGGGAAAAGTGACAAATTCAAGTACACTCATAACAGTTGTAAAGTCATAGTTAGGACTCCATGAGTTCGTGACCCGGATAAGCATACAAACGCTGACACAAATCTGTCCAATACACCCCATGCAAGTCTACAATATTTTGCAAGTCTGTACAAATTTATTGATTCACAAGCGAGGACAGAGCTTGTAATTATCATACAACGTCGAGTTGTCATAAGTGTTTTGTATTAGCACATGGCACACTCCCCATGACTCACACACTGAGCCGAGACCTGCTTCTGCTCTCCCCCTGCCACAGACAACATATTTGGAATTCCGTTGTTACCCTGGTGAGGAGAGGGAGGGAATTCTCATAGTTTTGCATTTCTGAGTAAAAGTAAATAAGAACATTGTGAGGCAGTTGTTCTATCACTGATGAAAGGAACTTTACAGAGTACCTGTCTTCAGTTTCGGAGTGGTACAAATAAATAACGGTCTTTTCAAATGATGTCATAAGTCGGCTGTCGGCTTAAAGTATTGTCCACTCGAGTTTTCACACATAGACATGTTCAATCAGAAGACATGGCTCTGCCTTGTTACTTCCAATAAAACGTTTTCTCCTGTTCGATGCCACATCAATCAAAATGTCACATATTTTGCAAACAGAACAAGTAGGTTTTGGAGGAATGATAAGAACCTTGACATCTTTGAAGAGGTTTTCGGGAGGTCATGTTGTCTAGCCATAGGAATCACACTAGACTAACATGAAGTCTCTAAAATCAACATATTTTCCAGAAAAAAAGCAGTCGTTACATTATAATTATATAATATAATAGGTGAGGTGAAATTGGGTTTAACGTCGCGTCTAAGATTATTGCACTTATATAGCGACGTGCTTGCACGTGTGTGTGTGTGTGTGTGGCTGCTTGTACTAGTCCGGACTGATGCCGATTTATAGTGCTAGCCCACTGAGATACCATACCGCCGTTTAACATGAATACCCCACTCAGACACAGTATACTGACTCCGAGTCGACCAGTCCTTGTTTTAACCCCTTAATGCCGAGCACCAGACAAACAATCTTTTAACGTCTTTCGGTATGACGCGGCCGGGAATCGAACCCCTGACCTTCCGCTCTCTGGGCGGACGCTCTACCACTAGACCACGGAGGCGGTCCATAAAATATAATAAAAAGGAACCAAGATACTTTCTTCATGAAACTGCAGTAAGCTAGACTTGCCAAATATCATAGACTTGCATGGGCTGCATGTATTTGTTTTCAGAGTCTGCATGACTAGAATCACACTAAATGCTGTCTCTAAGCTGGTACCCCAAAGCTTGCTCTCAAATATCGGCAGTCACACCCTTCCTAACTACCCACCACTGGCAAGTGGGTGGGTGTGTGTTAGGGGAGAAGTAGTAGAGGCAGTAAATATTCCTGTCACTCACACTTTCAGAAGCATGAGAGTGATGGGTGATAGGAATATGTACATGTGTTGTGAGATGCCAAGCAATTATTGCTCTGCAGATTTGTTAAGTATCTGAAAATGAGGAAAATATCTGGGCTTCTGTTTATTATATTTGATAACCATAATTTAACAACTGTTTTTTTTCTGTAAATTATTGAAGACCAATCGTCAGTGAGTGTAGAGGTCACTACACATTGACCCTGCAATGCAGGAAGTATTTTTCTCAAAAGTAATGTGAGGAAGAAGTTCAGTGTGACACACAGGTAAGGTCAATAGTCAGATGTAGGCTGAGATGGTGTATAAAAGTACATAGGCTCACACACAGTGTAGTGTACACCATGTACCCCTCGAGTTCGATTGACAACTTATATTATACACATATACGAATAGAGTGAACTCGAGTTAGTTCGCTGTAATACACTTTAATAGTGACACTTTATGGTCATTGTAGGCACTCTGTCTCGAATTACGGATAACACGATTCATTTTTGACGATACTCAGATCTTCCAGTTGATGATCATGAAGCTGTGAATAGCAGACAGCCAATCAGGAAATGACATATAGCCACGGTTATGCGGATCGGTGTGCTTCTCGGCCTGCTTTGTCCGACATCTACTTGCCACTAATACAGAGCTACGACTCGCTGCTACAGAAACCTGCTCACACAGTGAGACTTACAGAATACTTCCGAAGATAGATAACACATATGTAAACAGTATGTCATGAAATATTATGCCCTTACCTGTGTATCTCAAGTTAATCCTTACACCATACAATTCACATATCTGATTCTATTACAGCGATATGTGAAAGAGCTATTTTTGTGTCCTGTGTTAAATGTAGCGTCATGTCCTGTTTCTAATCTGATCACCAGAGCGCAAGGCTAACTAACGACACTGTTCCGTCTCGAGTGTAAGGAAATACCATCAACAACACTCCTTCCTGCACACCATTCTCGTGATACGATGATTTTCTATGTCGGTGTGACATTTGTGAACTATCTCGGTCACTTCAATAACCCGTGTATTTTGTGAGTTATTAGTGTATAAGGCCGCATCAACAATCTTGCAGCTGTTGCCATCGTGTGAATTCAGTGTATAATTCAGAATATAAAAAAGTCATTAGTTATGAATACATGTATATGTACACGATAAAATTCTATGACATGATATCAAACCACTAATCACCAATATACTGGAACATAACGCAATATTTTTTGTTTGTTAGTTTGTTTGTTTGTTGTTTAAAGCCGCACTCAGCAATATTTCAGCTATATGACGGCGGTCTGTAAATAATCGAGTCTGGACCAGACAATCCAATGATGGATATCATGAGCATCGATCCACGCAATTGGGATACGATGACATGCATCAACCAAGCCAGCGAGCCTCACCACCCGATCCCGTTAGTCGCCTCTTACGACAAGCATGGTCGCCTTTTAGAGCAAGCATTGGTTAGACCTATACTAACCGAGTTCTTCACGGGTCTAACGCATTTGAAATGCATCATTATGATTATGAATGTTATTAATATTATTATTATGGCTTGTAGAATGGAGCTCATATATTATAATGGGTATGACTTGGCAGTTTATCAAAACGATGTGAAGTGAAATGGCGTTTAACGTCGCGTCAAGGATTATTTAGCGACGTGCATGCACGTGTGTGTGGCTGCTTGTACTAGTCCGGACTGCTGTCAAATTTATAGTGCTAGCTCACTGAGAAACCATGTCGCAGTTGAATACCCAACTCAGACAACGAGCCGACCAGTCCCCTTGTTTTAGTCCTTTAATGTCGAGGGCCAGACAAGGTAACAACAAGTTTTAACGTCTTTCGGTATACCTTCTTTTGGCCTGTGTGTTTGTGTGTGTGTGTGTGCGTGCGTGCGTGTGTGTGTGTATGTGTGTTAGTGTGTTAGTGTTAGTGTTAGTGTGTCTGTGTGTGTTAGTGTGTTAGTGTGTTATTGTGTGTGTGTGTTAGTGTTAGTGTGTTAGTGTTAGTGTGTTAGTGTGTGTTTGTGTGTTAGTGTGTTAGTGTGTGTGTGTTAGTGTTAGTGTGTTAGTGTGTGTGTGTTAGTGTTAGTGTGTTAGTGTGTGTGTGTTAGTGTTAGTGTGTTAGTGTGTGTTTGTGTGTTAGTGTGTGTGTGTTAGTGTGTGTGTGTTAGTGTGTGTGTGTTAGTGTGTTAGTGTGTGTGTGTTAGTGTGTTAGTGTGTGTGTGTGTGTGTGTGTGTGTGTGTGTGTGTGTGTGTGTGTGTGTGTGTGTGTGTGTTTTTAACGGCTTTTGGTATGACGCTGCCGGGGGTCGAACTCCGGACCTTCCGCTCACCGACCGGACACAACTAGACCACGGAGGCAGTCCATCAAAATGAGTATATTGATTGAAATTCTGCATTTTAGGTTTAAATGGTGAATGAAATGATATGTTGTACATGGGTTATAATTAGATCACCAGACACAAGCAACACACTCACACTTAACAGTGCATGGTAATTTTAGCGGAGCCATTAATCTAGTATCTAGCGTACTTATCTTCCCTTGATCTGATTCTTTACGACTGCCCATGCAATATTACCGTTTTATCTGCAATCTAAAAAATAGAACAAAACGGTTATCAATACATAAAAGTTATATAAAACAAATTTTAAAACGAACTGTCAAAAAATCCATCAGCCAAAGCGTAACCTCACTTATAATGCTTCGGCATAACAAGGGATGTGAATGAATTGGTTTAATCGCTGTTGGTGATTGCGATCTTGCTTATGATTTACTTGTCACACAAAGGGATACGATTTCCACACTATTTGAACATATTGGGCAGTGCATTTGCATGATCAATTATTGAAATATTTAAATCTTCTGATGCAGACACATTTTATCGAATATTTCAAAATACTATTTTTCTAAAGACCTGGAAAATAGATCTTTCGGGTTTTCCGATTAATAAGGATAATTGCATTGACAGTGAATCTTTCATTGCAAGGCATGCATTGTGGAGGTTCAAGAACGAATATGAGAGCGTCGTAAAATGACCTCAACCTGTCTTAAGTTACAACCCCAAAAGTTATGGCAGATTTCTTGTTGAAAATTGACCAAGTTGATTGCCTAGTACGTTTTGGTTCCACCATATTTGCATAAGACTCAAAACACATAACACTGTTTTGTGTCTGGTGGTAAAGTTAGTATTGCATGAACTGGTATTTCTTTAAATAACCGAGAGAAAAGTAATTATTGAAAATTATCCATATGTTATGACAGACATGTATGTATCGGTTCGGAATCAGTCATTATTCTTCAGAAAGAGGTCAATTTGACGTGGATGGTCACCGGAGAGTCATTAGAGTAAACAAATGTCGTCAATGTGTCTGAAAATAACCCATAGTAATCATTATAAGACTTAAGAAATCTATATTTATCTATTTATCATGAGACATACATATACGACAATATCAATTACTGCCGAAGCGCATAAAATCATTATTTGGAAAATTGGGTTTCTTTGCCACTCTCGTCTTTAAGGGAATAGGGTTTTCGGCCGGAGATACACATCAACAACTGAATGTATTAATGTTTACAACACAACAGTGGTGACTGTCTGTGACCTGCATCACTTAGCGCATCCTCCCACTCACCTATTATCTCCGACGTGAGGGCATACGGACAATGGACTGGTCCTCTGACATGTTCCCAATAGAGCAGGGATGTTCTTGGGCGGAGAGTGTACGTTAGAGGCCCAGCATCTGCCAACGTGGCCCAGTTTGGGGTAGCTCTTCAGTGGCGTGCAATATCAAGGGCAAAGATACCCAAGTTCATCAACAGTATCAAGGATCAAGGATCGTGCATGTATCTCATGGTGGACACACAAGATATTGATCTACGCGCCCGAAATTAGTTTTGCAGACATTTTATTTCGTCATTGTTTGTCGGTAGTATATTATTAATTGATTACAAGCAGAATAGAGTAATCGTCTCAGCAATGGCGCCCTATACGTCTCATGAAATATATCCCAAGTCGCAAGATATTTTTAGAGTCGAGTTTTGTGCATCAGATATTTCCCCCAGGCATAATTCACTACAATGACACTGCATGCAAATTTAGATTTAGAGTATAAGTCATGTTCAGGGAAGTATAATGTTGTAGAATAAAACAAGATGGCGTCTATAGATTTCTCAGTATCTCAGTGGGCTTGCACCTAAAATCGGCATTAGTCCGGACCAGTACAAGCATCCACACACACACACACACACACACACACACACACACACACACACACACACACACACACACACACACACACACACACACACACACACACACACACACACACACACACACATTTCACCTCACCTCACCTCATTTGGCGGTGAGGTTTTATAATTACATGTAAACTATTCTATGGCCTTTACTGAGACTACAAAGCTGTTATCATGGTACATACTGGGTTGAAACAATCAGTCTACAAGAAAGTGACACGCCAAGTGGGGAACAGGTATATCAGGAGCACTATCACTATGGCAACACGAGCTTCCGATTGGTAGGTCAGTTATATGCTTCCGGAAGGTCATCCAATCTCTCTCACGTAATACTACGGTGGGATCTGAGTTGATGTTTTTCCTTCTAGACACATCTACCATCCAACTATGAAGGTACCAATGAAGGTAAATATTTTATGACGGCGCAGCAATGCATATTTCTATATGGTAACTATCTATCAACTTTCCATTTCGTTATATGGGAAGCTATTTACAAATCATGAGAGTTTATAGTTGATGCATGACGAGACGATTATGGATACCTGGTCCTTAACTCTGGCTATAATGCAAAACATACTTGCTAGCGCGCACTGTCGACAGTTATTTAATCAATGCACACATCCCAACGCCATTGAACATCATAAGCCGCACACTACTTAAACTTTTTGAAAAAGTAATGTTCCAGAGGTCTAAGGTCTAGAATCCTTTTCAGCAAACCTTCTATTCACGTGATGTGTGTTGTCAAAGGGGCATAACTCTTACGCAATGATCACATGTCCAATGAGTCATTTTCGAAAGACGTGTTTCGTGTCACTCTTCATAGGCATATACAAATGGTTGGCTGGATTTACCGGGCCACAAATTCCCATTGGGTTATGATCACAATGAATTGAAAAGATTCAAATTATCCGTTTTGTAAGACCTCCAGCCAAAGTAATTTTTATTAGCTACACTGGGTCAAAATATTTCCAATGTCGCATTAACAGTAGTCACACGTAATGTCACACATAAGCCATTTGCTGCTTATAAGCATCTAGTTCAAACATAAAATAATATATTGGCTATTAAAAATTGCACGTGATAATGCAAACAAAATCAAGAAAAACATCTTTTCCGCTATAAGAAAATAAAAATATATAGTCGCGGGCTGTGTAGATGTAAATGATATTAATACAGAGTAAGAAAGATGTATTTGGCTGAATATTAAAGCACTGGAAATCATGTAATGTTTGTTGAAACATACATATATTTATCACCAGATAAAACAGATTCAGGGATGGGTCCATTCCCCTAAATACTGTTTCCAGTCTGATTTCCATGGATATCGGATGATAATGTCGTACATGTTTGATATGTGATTAAACTAAATCAACTATCTTGTTATTGAAAGAAGTCAGAAAGAGGTTTTGACAACATCGTAAAGAACAGCCATAGCTGATTGCTGAATCTTGATTTACAGATGACATATGTCCTTCCAGAAAGTTGAAACTGTAAGATTTACATTTCCAATACAATAATCAACATTATCAAATGAACTCCCACGTCCAAGCAGTTTGTGATCCAGACGAAGAAAGTATTTTGCTACAAAACACTGATTGATTATGTGTACAACGACAACGAATAAGGAAACTGTATACAAAAAAATAGAAGGCCTACCTCATAATTTGAACACTATGGAGACGCCTACGCTGATATTGTTGACATGAAATCAAAGGTGGTCATACCCGGTTGTTTATACACAAGATGGTAAATTACAACGCTGAAGCCTAACAAATGCGATCACGCCAAGAGCAAACGAAAAACCGGTTGTGCTTTATCTGATAGTTCACATTGAATTTCGACAGTGTCACGTGGACCCGGCATTTCATATCATGACTTGATCGAGACGACAAAGGGGCGCAGATGTCGGTGTAGGGATTCAACAGAGAGGGGCATACTACAATGTCATGAACACTTTTGAATAATTAGAAATGTACATTTGTGGAGGCTTTTATCATTTCCACAATAAAATAATTGTGATCGATTGATAGTGGCTGTATGTATTGAGTATTGTGACACATCTTGATTACGTATCCTAAACATTTAGGTACCATGGGCGGGGTGTGAGTAAATATACTACACATATACGTATTTTATACTACACATGTACGTATTTTATACTACACATGTACGTATTTTATACTACACATGTCCGTATTATATACTAATCATATACGTATTTTATACTACACATATACGTATTATATACTACACGTATACGCATTATATGCTACACATGTACGTATTATATGCAACACATGTACGTATTATATACTACACATATACGTATTTTATACTACACATGTACGTATTTTATACTACACATGTCCGTATTATATACTACACATATACATATTTTATACTACACATGTACGTATTTTATACTACACATGTACGTATTATATACTACACATATACATATTATATGCTACACATGTCCGTATTATATACTACACATATACATATTATATACTACACATATACGTATTATATACTACACATATACGCATTATATGCTACACATGTACGTATTATATGCAACACATGTACGTATTATATACTACAAATATACGTATTATATACTACACATGTGCGTATTATAAACTACACATGTGCGTATTTTATACTAAACATGTACGTATTTCATACTACACATATGCGTAATATTTACTACACATATACGTATTGTATACTACACATATACGAATTTTATACTACACATATACGTATTATATACTACACATGTACGTTTTGTATACTACAAATATACGTATTATATACTACAAATATACGTATTTTATACTACACATGTACGTATTTTATACTACACATATACGTATTTTATACTACACATATACGTATTATATACTACTCATGTACATATTTTATACTACACATTTTCGTATTGTATACTACACATGTGCGTATTATATACCACACATGTGCGTGTTTTATACCACACATGTTCGTATTGTATCCTACACATGTACGTATTATATACTACACATGTACGTATTTTATACTACACATATACATATTTTATACTACACATATACGTATTGTATACTACACATATACGTATTGTATACTACACATATACGTATTGTATACTACACATGTACATATATTATACTGCACATATACGAATTTTATACTACACATATACGTATTGTATACTACACATGTACATATATTATACTGCACATATACGAATTTTATACTACACATATACGTATTATATACTACACAAGTACATATGTCATACCTCATATACGTATTTTATACTACACATATGCGTAATGTATACTACACATATACGAATTTTATACTACACATGTACGTTTTTCATACCACACATATACGTATTGTATACTACACATGTACGTATTATATATTACACATATACGGTTTATTTGTATATTAGTGTAATCATTTGAGACCACATGTCATGTTTCAATCTATCACCGTGTTTATGTCGAAAGCACTTACTAACACACGACCTAACTATGTCAATACTTATTCTCGCCAGCAATAGCTACAAAACAATACAATAGCTAATAACAACCAAAACGATTAGCCATGCTTACACCTATCAATGATTCTATTCGGGACATATTCCTTTCAGGGTACCCTCTAGACTGAGAAATCAGATATTCAATCAGATTTTAAATTTTCGGATTAAATAGTTTCATCCTGAAAAGCAATGTAAACCATGCACATCGATTAGCTGTTTAGTGATTGGAATGCCTCTCATTGGTAAGAGTTACATTCCTTATATATATATATATATATATATATATTGTCAAATGTAAATAATTTGCTTTGTGCTACATCAAGCACACATAGTATTCCTGTATTCTATACATTGGCAGAAAATGGCCCTCATTGACGAAGAAACTCAGGATGAAATTTCTCAAAGTGATTCATCATCAAAAGGTAGGTAGAAAATAATAAAACTTAATCGATATTTTGTGTATCTTAATACCAGTAACATATCTCATACAAGTAGTTATCTTTAAGCCAATTGCTTTTAGGTGTTAAGGGACAGTTGAAGGACACATCGTACCAAGCAGGCTTTGTAAGTAAATCACGGAATTTGTTTCGATTATCGCAACGAGGAGTCTTTAGGAGGTAAACACCTTCAATAACAGTTTATCATGAGGTTTAGCCAACAATATTGTTCATAGTTTAACTGTAAATAATAGAGGTTTATGCATGTACATTGTATTCTATCATTCACTATCTTCATCCAGACTTCATCATTGATTTTCTTCATTGAATGCGAAATGTTCTAAAACTGATTCTAATCACTACTGGTTAAAACCGGACTCCAGTCGAGATCTAATGATAATGGTAACAGTATTTACTCACGTTAGGGGTCAATTTTAGGGTGTTTGGAATAGGCTTCTGGCTTTAGGCGTTTCTGAGATAAAACATATACAAAAATGATAACAAGCAGAATTGCACTGTTGCTAAAACTAATTGTTTATGTTTACAGGCAGATGCTGAATCTCAAAAGGGCCAAGAAAAAGTATGTGTTAACATTCCTAAATGTTATATATTAACGTAATGTGTCAATCATTTCATTTCCACGTTGGCATATATTGAAGATAATGAAAGATGCTTGTGGATTAACATCTGTGAGAAGAATGGGAAATACAACGTCCGAGTATATTAACAGATATTTATGTATAAACTGTTGCTTTATATCGTTTTTATATTGTAGATGACAGCGGAGTTGGAGCAAGCTGACGTAGTTGCGTCACAGCACCTAGAGAGGTTGAATTACCCAACTCAATCCTCAGATCTCTTCCAAGGACCGGTCGGTCAGATTCAAGAAGCCGATACAGTAACTTTGCTTCAAACAACTGCAATAACAACGACTGCAAAACGTCAGACCTCCTTAGATGGAACTCCTGGTTTAGATGCTGTTAGTCAACTGACAGTGAGAGGTCAGAAAGGGTGTCTCAGCTTTCACCCTAATATATCTGATGACCAGCAAGATATTCAGTCTAAAGAGAATATCACATTGTCTGATCAACCAAATTCAGTCGATTGGTCTCTTGGTGTGATTCAAAACGATTTGTCTCTTACGGAATCGTTTGAACCATTCGAAGAGGAAAGTCCTATATTTGAGTCTGCAAGCAAGAAGGCAGAACTACCAGTTGATGACGACAAGAAACTCGAGTTGACACTGGCTGATATTCACGAGCAGCAAGTGATGTCTGGAACATGGGTTGACCCTGATTTCCCACAGTATTGCACACTGTCAGCAAGAGAGGCTTCATTTCCAGCTATAGCCATGCTTGATGGGGTCAGAGGCAACAAAACTGACTTTGCCATGAATGGGTTCTTTTACAGAAACACAAAAGGTTAGTAATAAGTAGAAAATACCTTCATAATTACAAATATACTGAACAACAAAAGTTCCTGTGACATTGAATAAGATTAGATGCAAAGTTATGTTTTTTTACCAAATCTGAAACAATTTCGGTTTGCAACAGATAAAAGACTTCTGTAAGTGCTCAAAATGGTTTAACTGACTTAAGAAAATGCGTGATTTCATAAAAAAAAATGAACATGCCAAAATGTCAATTTACAAACCAATAGCGTGTGTGTCCACCTCTGGTTGCGATGCAAGCAACACATCTTCGTCTCATGGAATGGACCAGGCGTCGCACAAAGTCCTTTGGGATATCTGTCCATATCAGCTGGAGCATGTTTCGAAGTTCCTGGGGTGTCTTTGGAACACGTGGTTGACGTCGAAGGCGCCGATCCATCTCATCCCACATGTGCTCGATTGGTGAGAGATCAGGGGAGCTAGCCGGCTAGGGGATGACATTCACGTTGTTTTGTTGAAGAGAATCCTGAACAAGCCGAGCAATATGAGGCCGGGCGCTGTCACGTTGAAAGGTAATGCCTGGGCCATGACGACGCAAAAACGGTCGAACAGGGCCGATGACCTCGTCGCGGTAGCGGTGTCCATTAAGATTTCCCTCTACCACTATCAAACGGGTCCTCTGTCTTGCTGTAATCCCACCCCATACCATAACGCTGTCGTCCCCGAACCGATCTTCTTCCATGACACAATGATTGACGTAACGTTCACCTCGACGTCGGTACACTCGAATCCGCCCATCGCTGTGGCTGAGGTGAAAACGAGAATCGTCAGTGAATAGAACTTGTCCCCACTGCATGGCCGTCCAGCGTAGACGCTCTCTGCACCACTGTAGACGAGCTTGACGGTGGTTTCCTGTCTAAATGGGACGTCTGGCGTGTCTTCTGGCGACAGTCCCTGCACATCTGAGGCGGCGACGTACGGTTTGTGAAGATATTCGTCGAAGGCCAGGGATGCTTCTTGCAGTCACTGTTGCTGTCTGGAATCGATTTCGTAGGTGTGTTGTCCGAATCCAGTTGTCTTGTCGATTATTAGTTACGCGTGGCCTGCCACTCCGAGGATGGTCTCTGACTGCATTCGTCTGTTGCCAACGTTGCCATAAACACCAAATGGTGTTTCTGTGCACGTTAAATTGTCTTGCAACATCACGTTGACTCGATCCTGCTTCAAGCATACCAATGGCTCGCAGACGCTCATTTTCGGACAGGCGTGGCATTTCGTAATGTTGAATAATTGCGTAATTTTGTTGTTTTTCTGAGTGGTTGTTGTCAGCACGATGCTAAACAATTCATATGGAATCCCGTTAACGCACATGTTTTTATACCCATTCTTGGGTTGTGAAATGCATGGGGCTTGCATAAAAGTCAACTTTTGCATGGAATGCATGCTTTTAAGTAGCAGTTGCTTTTTTGTGACTTGATTCCATACATGTACTACAATATTGAAAACCAAACTTTACTTGTTTGAAAAATACACTAAAATATTGGTGTCACAGGAACTGTTGTTGTTGAGTATATATGTCTGTTCATTTATCATAATTAAAGCATGACAGGTGAACTGCTTGCTTGGATTTTTATTCATTAGTAAGTATCTGTAATCGCTGTGAATGAATGCCAAAGGTATGTTTCAGGATTTGCATCTGTTACCTGTTTCCACTGCGGGTGTTCTCCTAGGCAGTGGCAGTTGGGGATGTTACCCAGGACAGAACACATCATCCTATCACCACGATGCCGTGCCGTCCTCCTCTGAATAGACCATGACACTGACACGCAAACACATTTTCAAACAGTTTTGCCAAATGTAAATAGTGGTCCCGAGCTGTTTGATAGTGTGACAGTTACAGTAGCTGAAACATTTCCTTGTGCTTTCATGAAGCATATAATTTACACATCTGCACACACAACATATCATAGTTCAATGTCATGTGGTGGTAGTGTGTAAATACCTCCATTAGCGTGATAAAATAAACCAAACATTCCCCATGGGAAATCTACAGTGTATGTCCCACGCTGATCGTACCAACCTACAAGCTGAAACACGATACTGGTGTAGAGTTTTACCCAGCTATTCGTTGACAATCGTAGACAGAGCAAATATGACTTGTCAAGCTGTGGAATTATCCTTAAAATAATAACATAATAACTTTCATTTTGTCAGTTTATTAATACAACCAGTCTAATGTTTAGCTCAGAAGCAACAAACGCCCAACGCCCACGGGGGCTAATTAATCATGCCAAAGTGAACACACGTTAATTGACTCATTGTCATTCATTTGAAATCTTCAATAACTGTAAAGGGAGACTACTCTGGTGTTCTGTTCAGCCTCTATTGTTACGAAGGTTGTCAGCGTGGGGCATGGTTATGTATACTCAAATTGAGCAGCCTATGTTTTAAGTAGACGTCATAATCTGGTATGTTTTACATTATTTTTAAATATTTGATTATAAACGCAAACCCAAAGCAGCTTATTTTTCCAATATGATGCACTCCTTCCTATAGACTGTTTCAGGATCTGTCTGGGATTTTTAGGTTAACACGTTTACCTGTGGAACATAAGGAATGTCTTTTACTGTTCAGTGAAATAGGTTTGATATAAATGCAATGACAAGGATTTCTTTCGCATCCAAAAATAACTAAGTATCTCTCAAGAATGGCCTCTGCTAAAGTCCTTGATCGAGTCCTGAACATAGATAGGTAAATGGTTACTTGATATATATTGAAAATCATTTGTTACAACCTTTCGATGAAGCAACATTGGAGTGGTTTGATAGAAATGGTGTTAAATTGATCCATGATTTGCCTACATGCTTCAACATTTCTAATAAACATAAATGTTCCACATTGAAGTTGTTCGTTCTCCATGTCCATGATCTATGCTTATCATATTTGCATATTGAGAAATGACTTACTTCCGATACCAGAGCTACATGCGAGGCATGAGAACGAGACAAAGAATGAATATGCGGATATAATGAGAGCGTATTTTAACTTTCTGTAAAACATATGTAAAGGAGGGTTATTTTTTACTGGTACGATCATCCAACAGGCAGTCATACCCCACTCCTCTTAGCCATCTTTCTAGGACAGGCCAGGTATCCTGTCGTGGTTATCAGTATCGCGTGTTCAAACCGGATTTATTTACATAAATATCATATTCCAAATGTGCTGTGGATAAATATTCACTCATTTTAGGTTTAAATGTATGTTTCCATAATCCCCATTGGCCGCTGTTAAAGCGACTTTCACCTCACCTAAGGTGGGATCTTATATGTATCCTGTGGTAGGAAGGATGTGATGATTACATTGGGTGATTATTAGTTAATATCATTTCTGTAATTAATCATTGGGGTTGTGTGTTTATCTATTCACATATGCTTTTTGGTATAAACAATGCGTTTGCATAATCTTTAACAATAGTGTTTTCTCCTACAAGTATAATAATCACATCCCGAATATCACATGAATTATTGTTAATTCTTTTAAATATATTTTATACGCTCTTTCTGACTGCACTGCCTGGACACCAACAACGCCAGCCATAACTGTTGATTTTGTTTTAGGTGTCTCCCCGACAGTGCAGCCAGCATTTGCACCCTGTAACATTTTTTACTTCAATATACTATCATTAACTGTCTTTTTGTGTTATGTCATCTTTTACTGGAGTACTTCGCGCAGTTAGCACACTTGCCCATCCCTTTCCGGGAGACGAAATTGTTACGTAACCGTGGTGATTCCACAGGTCTTACACATCCTTTAACAAAAAGCAAACTATACAGTTTGTTCTTATAGGGTTCACACAATCGAGTATTCAGGCGAACTTTGGACGATCTGTTTGTCACAAAATTCTCTTATTTTGAAATTCCTCTTTTGAAATGTATTAAAGCTGGGTCACACCTCAGTCTGCACTACCAAAACTTGTAGACATGCCATGTAGATCTCGAACCAAGCCTTATCGGTACCGTTGCACTTGTATGAAAAAAAAATAATTTGTTTCTGAATATCTGGAAATAGGACATATTTTGAAGTGATTGTTTATTTAGAACAGCAACATTGATCAGTCTGCAACTAAAACACGAATTGACACGATGGAAGCTAACGGGTAACTATGAACAACTGTCTATAGTCCCGGCCTTTTTTACGTCAGAAAAGGAGAATCGAGGCATTCTGTCAGTTTAGGGTGACATTGCATCAATGAAATAATGCAAACTCGCTATGTTTATCATGTGCTTTTTCCCTTTGTGTAACCATTGCAGCATTGAAATATAACATGGACTTCAGCATGCTCAGTGTAATAAAGTCGGATATACTGCTGCAGCACACGGATATCCTGTGATGGGCATATACCACGGATCTATAATTATTATGTAGTCGTGCCTCTAATAGTAATTGAAGAAGAAATAACGTGCAGAATTAAAAAATGATCTTTAATGTATAAACATTTCCTCTTACATCTGAATTCATATTTGTTTAAATTCTGAAAAAATGAGCAATATGCTAAATGCAAATCTACCATCTATCAACCAATCATTACAATATACATACGACTCATAATGATTTGAAATAAATCTATCCATATTATTCTATCCCTAACAAAATGTGTCCATCGTATTGAGCCTTGTGTATCATGGGTGTCGATTAGTTAAAACAATTTCAACATTCTGATACTGATGCCCTTTCAATAGAGATTTGTCCCAACAAATAGGACAGAATCCTGGCTTCTCCCAGATGATGTCTATGTAACGTAAATACAAGTACGTATTTGTAGGTTCTTGTTTTGGTAACATATTATGACTGGGTAGTCCCACTACAGCCCATGGAGTATTCTGCGCACCTAAATTTCTTTCAACAGTATTCAAGATGTCTGTAGTATTAAATATATTTATTAAACATGTGTTAGCAGTTTGATTTCTTTCAGTCGAGTTTAAGTGTTTATATTCAAATTTGACTTCATTTGTGTAATATCGATGTAACCCCAACAGCATTCCATGTTGATATGTCTAAACGCAATATGTATTTTGGTATTTACTGCTCTACAATATAATAGATAGTACTGGTAATGACTGCCCATTGATATTACAAACTTCAAAATGGATTTTAGTGATTTCTATATTTTTTATTCTGAACAGTATATTTTAATATGAAGTTGATGATATAATTTATTAGTACCTGTTTCTTGACCAACTTTATACGCTGCATATGATCTTCACATTGCGCGTGCCCAGCACCATCTAGCAGCTGTACGGAAATGCACGCATAGTCGGCGATAATACGACTATGAATACATATACATGTACAATTAAAGTATTTGTCATGTTTAGAAGTATGGAATTCAAACATCAAATATAACACTTTCAATACCGATTGCATAAGTCAACAAAGCGACCTGGAACGAACGATCACATGTTATTACCGCCTCGCTTCGGCCATCAAAGGGTTTACTATTACAATGTGGTTACCCTGATGTATCACTATGTCACGTAACGCATACTTCCAGGACAGGGCAATAGATTGATCAATGTTTAGGTTAAAAAGCCACACTTCCCATACACCAGAGTGAACGTTACTGATGAAGTGTGACGTGATTACTCGTCTCTACATATAAAGGTGACCTCAACACATGTAATGTTCGGGTTAGTTGATAAGTGAAGGGAAGATAAGTTGAAACAGATCGCCGATCACATAGATTGAATAATGGTTATTTGATACAAATTACAAACCAAGTTTATACATTTATGGATATCTTCAATGATGCGATCATTTGTATTGTGTAGACAATGCAGAAATGTTTTATATCAATATATGAGTGTCACCTTAATACAAAATACATCTTGTATGGTTCTCTAATCAGTGTCCGCCTTTGGTAGGCAAAACGCTGTTCAAATACAATTGAAAGAATGAATGGAACTATGAAAGATGATGTTGGGGAACAGTATGCCATCTATAATAACGTTTCGACATAATTCCCATCAAACATCATTTCGAGCCACTAAAACATTATATGTTCATATTTGTATTGAGGTAAACATGCGTATAAAACAAAGAGAAATAAAAGCAAACTGAAATGTATCTAGGAACTTATCCATATAGCCATAGTCCTGAAATAATTGCAAATACCTCTAGCGAATGAATCAGTTAGACCATTCGCGGATCCATATACAATAAAATTTACATCATCTCCCTAATAATTTACTGCTTATATATCTATACATTTTATCGATTTATTTTTCTTATTGAAATAGAAAGTAACTCCGCACATATGATGAAAAGATATGGAGATGAAGGATGGCCTTGCCTACAACCACGACCTCCTAACTGGATGAAACTTAAAATATATCATGAATTTATTATTGCGTTATAAATTTCTGTTTGGAATAATTGTATCCATTGTCGAAGAATGAGGTCGAAATTCAATGCTCCTGAAGCTTTGTCTATGAATTGCCATTCTATTGAACAAACACCTTTTCAAAATCTACGGTTAGCAGAAGGCCAGGTATTTCGTGAACTTCATAGTAATTCATCATATCATATATTAGTGTAATAATTTCACCCATGAGACGATTTGGTTAAGAATGAGTTTCACTTATAATATCTGGTAATAAACATTTAATTCTATCTGCAATCTGATTACCTTAGATGCTATTTTGTAATCAACATTTAGCAAAGGGGAGGGGACCAGATTGTTACACGTCCACCGTCTTGTCCTTCCTTCGGGATACCTGTTATGATGCCCTGTCGTTGACATAATACCGGTTTCATATGCGTACGTAATTGTTAACATATTGCTGTACTCCTAGATATGATACCTTAAGTTGTTTCGGTTCCTATTGTGTCTAGTTCCTTCTTTTTTTTGCATTCGAATTCGATTTTTCGTCATTATCTAAATTTTGGTAGACCAATTCCATTTAATGTATTTCACATTCCAATGTCTGTTCTTTTTTGTCTTGATTTTTCTTACGTTTGGTAGAAAAAGCTGTACTTTCACTTCAATTTTTTTATCTTCAATAATTCAAAAACTGAACTGATGATGTGTCTGTAGGTCACTAGATATATAATATTGCTGACTATGTTATGTAAAGTGTTTTTAACGAATATAAATGTGTGTACTCTGAGTCAAGCAGTAAGGCGGAGTTAAATTTCCAGTTACTTGTGCATTGTTCTGTTGTGTGCAATGACAGTTCTAAGGATATGAATAAATGGTCAGTTTTATAACTTATTCCTATGGTGGTTGTTTTATCCGGAGATCGAAACCCTTCTGAAACGAGAAACTAATCATGTCTACTTTGTATAAGGATTGCTTTGGTCTACAAGTATTGTAAATGTCAGGATTTAATACTCGCCAAGGGTCGACACGTCGTATTTTTACTTTTAAATCAGCTATTTTTATTATTTGTTATTGGATTATTTCCGAGTTTAAAACTATACGTAACTGTAATTTTGAACAACATTCCCGTCTACTCCCCAAATAAAAACCCCAGTTAATTCATCAATATATATATGTAGTTATATATACATTCTCTTTACTATATCTATCGTCCGGAATATGTATACAGTTTTAGGTGACTTTTCTAGCGTGAATAATGTATCCTTAGTCTTGCTTTTATTTCACAAATAAGACTAGTTATGAAGCACATATTTTTTTAGATAAAAGATAAAAGGAGTTGGACCCGATCAGTGTTACATGTGCCACCGAGCATCCTCTTCGTATGATGTGCATATCACACTTTTAGGTTAAACATTAAACAGACCCGACAGAAACAAAGGACAGAGTCAGTGGTTCTTAATATGACATTTTTAGTTGTAAAAAAACATGTATAGTACTGTGAAAACAAAGGATACGCATTTGATGCAACAGAAAGTACAGGAATTCACATTTTCCAAGCTACTTTTGGTTTGGATACAAAGGAATAAATAACAGTTTGCCCATAACAGAACAAAACACATCACTCTTAGCAATGATTAATCAATATCTCAAACATCAACATCAATCAAATGGAAGGAGTGGACCTTATTCATGTTCATGGTTGTATTGAGCTTACAAATGGGGCATAGAGTAAACATTCTCCACCCTGTAGGGTGAGTGATTTAACTGTACAGCCCAGACTTAGCCCCCAGTGACTTTTTCCTGTTCCTGCAAATGAAATCTGGAAGACGCTTCCAGGATGCCGAGGACATAAAGGCTGCCAAAGAGGCGTGGTTAGAGGGCCAATCTGCGGATTTCTATAACAGTGGTATTAAAAGCTTGAAGAACAAATAGAATAAGTGTATTGATAAATAAAAGTGCAAAAGATATTCTGCGACTTGGTCTTATATTGAAGTTGCAAAACCTATTGAACGCCCCTCGTAACTGGTGATATTTTTTAGTGAGACTAGATATGAAGCACATACTCTGCATATAGGGATATCAGGAATTGAACCCGATCAGTGTTATATGTGCCACCAGGCATCCTTTTCGTAGCATGTTGTGCTTATCATACCCTTGGGTTAACATTAAGACAGACCCGATATTAAAATAGATCGATTGATGTTTAAGATTCAGTGGCTGTTATATAATATATGTGTCTTACTGTAAAAAGTAAAATAATCAAAGTCACACATCAGCTGAAATATATTAGACGAAGGAAATTGTGTGAGCCT